TACATGAGCCTTACGGTGTTTGACTGTTTAGCCTATGCCACTACAGTAGAAGGTCACAAACACAAGTTTGATCCTAGGGCTAAACAGTGTGTTTTTCTAAGCATTCCAACTGGTATTAAGGGTTTTAAGTTACGGGAACTATACACTAAACGTGTTTTTGTTAATAAAGATGTAGTGTTCTATGAAGATATATTGCCCTTTAAGGGCTCTTCTGCATCTCCTTCCTTTTCTCAAGTTGATAGTTCACAACACCTGTCAACTGCTCCCAATTTCTTTTGTCCTCATGATTCCTCTTGTTCAGAATCCTGGTCTACCATTGAGCCTGAGTTGCCAACTTCTTCTCCTTCTGTTGTCACACCTTCCCCTATTCCACCTGCTCCTTCCCCATTCCCTGTTCCTTCACCATCACCTGTTTCTTCTGATCTCCCTCCCTCCTCCACTGCTCCTGCATCTTCTCCTCCTTCGCCTACACCAGTAGTACCACTTAGAAAGTCCACAAGGTATTGTGTGTTTCCTAAGAAGTATGGTGAATTCTATGTGGATTCCTTGCAAGTCGGTTTTGGTCCCACCTGCATTCCCTCTGATCTTGCTCACCTGACTCCTCAACAACAACATTTTGCTATTACTATTGCCACCCATGTGGAACCTACCAGTTATGCTGAAGCAGTCAGGGATCCTCGTTGGAATGCAGCTATGACTGATGAGATTAGAGCCTTACTTGAAAACCACACTTGGAACATAACTGACTTGCCAGAGGGGGTCAAGCCAGTAGGAAATAAATGGGTGTACAAGACTAGCTTCATGGATTTGAAAAATGAGGGTTTTGGTAAAACTTGGGTTTTGGAAAACCATGGATATATGATGGATTTGGTGGCATTATGGATTTGACCAAGTCTAATGTTTGCTTGTTGGATTTGATTATAGATTTTGTTTGAATAGATTTGTGGATATGAAATTCAAATTACCTTGTTACCCTTATCTTATCTAATTATATTTCTATATTATAATCCATAAATTTCATTAAAAAAATCCAACGCATACAATGAAATTTTAAACTCTTTACCACTATGTGGACTAATAATTCAACTACAAATATAGAAATGTATTATAGTTTGACACTAATTAACAACTCATCTAATAATGTACGCAATATTATGTATCAATTGCAACCAATTGCTCGCTTTATTGCTACAACTCATCAACTTCTTGCTAACTCCCCGATTTTGGAATCCGACAATCAATCAAATAATAATGCACAAGACGAGCATAAGATGTTTATAGTTGAATCTAACAAATCACATATACATTCATATTTAAATAAACTATGATATTACAAAACGAAATGAAAAATTCTCATATATATAAAATACGACATTATAAAAGTTTATAATTGCATGACCATTGAATTAAAGTAGGACAACTTTGTAATTAAAGTAATACGTAAGGGTAGAAAGGTAATTTCCCATCATGGATTTTAATCCATCACCCAAATCCCACCTCAAGAGGTGGAACTTCCAAGTCCGTGGGGTCCACGGATTTGGAACCCCAAAAGTGGCAGGACCCACAAATTCCATCTCCCTAATTCCCTAAGGCAAACGATGGATTTCTGTTAAAGTCCATGATGGATAGATTTCCATCACCAAATCCATCACCAAAACCCTCAAGCAAACGACCCGTAAATTCCACCAGGATGGAAGCATTGAGAGGTTTAAGGCTCGAGTTGTTGCCAAAGGGTATACACAAGTCTATAGCATAGACTATTGTGATACCTTTTCTCCTGTTGCCAAATTGAATTCCGTAAAAACTTTGTTAGTCGTTGCTTCCATTAAGAACTGCTCCTACACCAAATGGATGTAAACAATGCTTTTTTGAATGGTGATATGGAAGAGGATGTTTACATGGAACTTCCAGAGGGGTTGAGGGAAAAGCCAGAGTACAAAGGGAAGGTTTGCAAGTTGAGAAAGTCTCTGTATGGCCTCAAGCAGGCTAGCAGGATGTGGTATGCTAAGCTAGCTGAATCCCTATTGGCCAATGGTTTCAGGCAGTCAAAGGCAGACTATTCCATTTTTCTTAGATATTAAAGGTCATATGGTTGTTGTTATTGTCTATGTAGATGACATTGTAGTTGGAAGTGTGGATTTAACAGCAATAATTCATGTGTAAGAGATGTTGAAGTCTTTGTTTAAGATGAAGGACCTTGGCAGCTTGCAATATTTCCTTGGTCTGGAAATTAACAGGTCAGCAGAGGGGATTCATGTTTCACAAAGGAAGTATTGCATTGAGCTTTTGAAGGAGGCTGGTTTTGATGATTGTAAACCAACCAAGACTCCTTCCAGTGTGAAGCAGGTGTTATCAACTAATGAGGGAGATCATTAATCATTATCTTAACATTAGCCACTACAAACATCTACTTGGTCAGTTGCAGAATCTCACCAGTACAAGCCATGACATTACTTTTGTTGTTCAGCAGTTATGTCAGTTTCAGGACTCACCTACCATTGTGAATTTCAAAGCATTACAGAGAGTATTCATATACTTGAAAAATTGTCTAGGTCAGGGCATCTTCTACTCATCAAGTTCTTCCTTGCAGCTGATTGGTTATAGCGATTCAGACTGGGCTACATGTCCAGATACAAGGAGATCCTTGACTGGTTTTTGTGTCTTCTTAGGCACAGGTTTTATAAGTTGGAAAACAAAGAAGCAGAGCAATGTATCTCGATCTTCTTCTGAGGTTGAGTATAGAGCTTTAGCTCTACTCAGTTGTGAGATACAGTGGCTAGTAAGATTACTTGCAGATTTTGGAATCGATCATTCTTTTCCTGCCATGGTTTATCGTGACAGCCAGTCAGCAATTCATATTGCCCGCAACCCTGTGTTTCATGAATGCACGAAACACATTGAAGTGAATTGTCATGTGATTAGAGAACGTTTGGTGAATGGTTTGATCAATTTGCATCACATTGTTACTTTGCATTAGTTGGCAGATTTCTTTACTAAAAGTCTTGGGATATATCGCTTCAATTATTTGATTAGAAAGCTGGGAGTATCAGGTCGACACTCGCAAGCTTGTGGGGGGCAGGGGGTAATGGAGAATGCTCCTGAGCAACAGCATAGAGCATATGAAGGTAGGGGTGGAAATCGGTACGGTATCGGTATCCCAATCCCAAATACCGAATTACACCCTAAAATCAATCCCAATCCCAATCCCTAAATAATTTCGGTATCCCAATCCCAATCTCTAAATAATTTCGGTATCCCAATCGGTACCTCGGTATCCCAATCGGTATTATAGAATACATAATTAATTACCTTTTCAATTAATAATTAAATATATAAATTAGATTTTATTGTTTAATTTAGGGCAAAGAGACTAAGCAAATAGTTTTGACTTGCCTAGAGCTAACATCTCAAATTCTTGTAATTGGTATTCTTTAATTTGACGAATTTGAGATTGAGAGACGACTAATAATAGTGTGAAATAGTGATGTAATGATCTATGTATAAATAAATGACACTTTTGGTGGTTGAGGGTCGCGTAGTAGTGAATGAGAGAATCTAGTTGAGAGGATAAAATACACACTAGCTTATATTTCGGTATTGATCGGTATTTCGGTATATACCGATCCCAATCCCGTAATCCCTAATACCGAATGACATTTGAAATTCAATCCCAATCCCAATCCCTCAAAATAATTCGTGTATTCGGTAATACCAAATATAGACAAATTCGGTACGGTATTCGGTATATCCCAAATACCGGTACCAAACTTCCAGCCAATGAAGGCATGAAGAACAGCTAGAGCTGCTGCTGAATGAAGAACACGAAGACCACTATGATGCTTTGAGAACGGCAGCGTTCTGCTTCAGTTATGGAATTAGAAGACCCAAAACGGTGACGTTTCCTTTGGTCGAGTGCAATTAGTTAGTAAATAGACAGATGTCGTTTTGTTAGTGGATAGTTTGATTTGTTAGTTAATAAGCACTGTAGATTAGCCGTTAACTCTGTTTCCTCTGTATATATATATATATGGGCAATCCAGAAAATGAAGAACTCAGCTTTTGAGTCCTCTTCACCAAAAATGCTAGCAGATTTGATTTCTTCTTATAGGTCATGAAAAGATGGGAGGGAAGGGAAGCAAGTAGATGTGTCACTTTTGTTTTTGTTACAAGGGACAAGCAAAGGAAGGGGACAATCAGAACAAGTGTGTATTACAGAAAGATGGTGAAGAAGAAGAAGAAGAGAGTGAGAGATTAGGTTTTGGAGGGATCGTGTGAGCTAGATTGGTGGTTGTGGTTGTGCCAAAGGTTAGAGTCGAATGGATGGTTGTGATTGCACTAAAAACTACTACAAATTGATGAGGAGTTATCTAACAAATAACTCACAAATCACAAATAGATAATTATTTTTGGATATGCAGACAAAGGTGGTAACATATTTAGGCCATCAACTATTACTCTTAAGTGGTTAAACTTCAACCAATTAACCAGTAATCAATTAACCAATGACAGACTCATACTACAAAATCCGAATCGAATTTTTTTTTTTTTTTTTTTCACTTGATTTTGTGTGGACTTATATATATAGGCAGGCTTAATCCCACTCTCAACACTCAAGCAGCTTTTGGACAAAGTGGGGCTGGGTAGCTCGTTGGAGCTCACTGGGAAACCCATTCGACTAATACCCATGGGCTTCTTAGACATTTTTCTTAACAAACCCGCGAATCGCGGCCCAAATCTACGTACAACATAAGCCTGCCCAGTTGTCTGTCCACTAACAATAAGGAAAACCGACATGTAACAATTTAAAAAAAAATCTATTATTTAATATTTTATAAATGTAAGTTAGTTGTGTTGTAAATTCAACTGCACGTTTATAATACTCCAATAATTCGCAATTTCCCCAATTAATCCAGTTCATATTCGGCTTATTACGGCCGGCCGCGCAGATAGAGAGAGAAAAGTCTCCCCTTCTTCTTCGTCCTGTCTTCCTCTCTCCCCCGATGTCTTCCGCAGGAACTCCAACCGGCGGAGGTGGCGCCGCCGCCACAGCTCGCCCTCCTCCCGCCTCCGTACCAAAGGCTTTCTTCTGCTACCAATGCAATCGCACGGTCACCATATCCGTCTCCCCGACCTCCGATCCCCTATGCCCTTCCTGCAACGAAGGTTTCTTAGAGGAGGCTGAAAACCCTAACCCCGGTCCAAATCTCTCCTCCGCCGCAGCAGCCGACCCCTTCGGCGATGCCTTCTTCCCTCCCATGAGCCCCTTCTCCCTCCTCCCTCTACTCTTCTCCTCCTCCTCCGCCCACGGTGGCTCCGCGACCTTCGAATTCCAAAACCCTAACATCTTCGGCGCCCAGCGATCGCCCTCCGATCAGGCCGAATTCAACCCCCACGATTTCCTCCGCAACTACCTCAACAACCTCCACAACGACGGCGCCAGAATTCAGTTCTTCATGGACAACAATCCTCCCGCTGGCAACCTCGGCGATTACTTCATCGGCCCGGGACTCGAGCAATTGATCCAGCAGCTGGCAGAGAACGACCCCAACCGCTACGGAACTCCTCCTGCTGCGAAATCAGCAATCGACGCCCTCCCTACCGTCAAGATCACCGGCGAGGCCCAGAGTTCTGAGATGAATCAATGTGCTGTATGCAAGGATGAGTTCGAGACGGGTGATGAGGCGAAACAGATGCCTTGTAAGCATGTCTATCATCCTGATTGCATTGTCCCCTGGCTTGAATTGCACAATTCATGCCCAGTTTGCCGCTACGAGTTGCCCACGGATGATTCCGAGTACGAGACCAGGAGGCGCAACGGTGACCAAGGGGGCAACACCCAGAGCCCCGATGCTGGAGGTCGGACGGAGAGAAGGTTTAGCATTCAGTTGCCGTGGCCGTTCGGCAGACAAGGTGGTTCCAGCAGCGATGGGGGAGCTGGTGGCGGCCAAAGTAGTGCCTGATTTCCAATTGGGTTAGTTGTTTATTTTCCTGTTATCTTTTCTTTCATTCATTGTCTAAAGATTGACCATAGAAACATTGCGATTCCTCTGTATAGTTTGAATCTTTGGGATTTTTATTCCTAATTGTTGAGCTGAATCAATTACCTTAAGCCTGTTCATCTTGATATTCGTTACTTAATGAGGTCCCGGAGTATGATTGGAGGAGAAGTATCAGCTTTAAAATTGAGGGTATAATGTGGTTAACGTATGTTGCTCTTCAATTGATGGTTCATTGTTCTCGAGTGTTCTGAAGATTTTCCATACCAAGTTGCAAAATTGAGATGCTTTGGAATTTGTCATTATGCCCACCCTCCCGTTGAGGCAAGAATACATGTTTACCTAGGACCCCAACCATTATAACTTTTCTGTCAACTTCTGGGTAGATGTTACTCTTTCATATGCAAGTCTTAGATGTTGTTGAGGTGCCCTGATTTCGTTATTCTATGCTAGCTTGGCCCTTATGTATGTTTCTCGACGGCTTTTTAATGAATATTAAGAATGCTGGTTGATGTAAGTTGAGCAAAGTGGAACTTGTGGAGACATTACCTGGTGACTTTCCAATCTTTTACTATAGATAGTGACAGTGGCATTCTATTGGGAGTATGATGTAGCACAGGTGGGTTGCTTATGTTGTTTGGAGTGCTCGTATGATTAGGTTTTTTATATACTTTCGTATTTTATACTTCCCTGGACCAGACATTGGGATTAGTAGTGGCCATTTGTTTCAAATTCTAGGTTTTGAGTAAGTGCATATTGCAGCTGTGATCCCTTTTCCTGAGATATCTGGACTGTGTCTGTGTGTCCATTCTGTTCTACTCTTCGTGATATCCTTTTCCACGTGCATTAGACAGTACTTTATGGTAGCGGTACATGGTCATTATTTGGTCTCTCCAAATGGGAGATTTTGTGAGTCATGGAAGTCGGATGGGGATTTCTTGTTCTTTGTCGGGAGGAGAGGAGAGGAGATTTCCATTTTCAGTCAGCACTTGCCTAGGAAGTACACAAACGCAAGCTGTGTGTATCTTTAGCCTGATGGTGCAGAATTTCCTTCCGAAGTAGCTGGAAAGAATACATTGTGCCATTTAATGTCAGCGAATGCAACTCCAGTGAAGAGGCTAGGGTTTAAGTGTTTGAGATCGGACTTATTGTTCTTAGGTTTGTTATACTTTCCTGACCATTTAATTTGTTTTGTCTACCGAACTCCTTTTCCAGGTCATGAAAAGATGGAGCGAAGGGGAAGCAAGTAGAGGTGTCACTTTTGTTTTTGTTACAAGGGGCAAGCAAAGGAAGGGGACAGCCAGAACAAGTGTGCATTACAGAAAGAAGGTGAAGAAGTAAGATGAGAGTGAGGGATTAGGTTTTGGATGGATCGAATGAATTGAATTCGAAGCAAAGTTAGGGTTGTTTCTCTTTTTCTTGTCTCTTGATTTTTTGTGTTTGAACTTTTATGGTTGGTTTGTTGGTTGGTTGGTTGGTTGGGTGAAAATATACATACACAGGGCAGATCACATTGATTTTGTGTTTCACATACTTAACCGTCTTTATATGATCTTGTACTCTTAGACCCCTACCAACTGGCTACTTTTACATTCTTTGTGGTGTTGTAGTACTGAGTTATCGTAACATACGCTCAAAGGTGATGCTCCCACGATTCCCAGGTGATCCAATACGCAACTGCACGATGATCCCTCGCGATTCTTCCCTATCGTTGCACAACTATTCGCGATACGAGTCTCTCATGCCTTAAGGATGAATGCTGTTCGGACGAGGAGGGCAAAGGTTGTTCTAGCCCAAGGATGAACGTTGTATTGTATTACCTCCCATCTGTATCGTTCCAATTTTATCGGATAACAATCGAAGGGACATATTACCTTGGTTCTCTGCGAATTAACCATGTACGGTGGTTGTGTGGGTCATTAGGAGGTCCGCATCAGATAGCTCGGCCCAGGTATCAAGATGGGCCGGGCCGGGCCTGTGCTGCGGGATGTAAGAAGTCCGTAGGAAGAAAAGAAGGGTCTCCTTCGTTTCGTCTTGTTTTCCGCTGGAGCTGGGATACGCCGTACAGAGTCACTCTGTGATTAGTTGCCACCGGCGGCGGAGACGGGCAGCGACCGTGCGCGTTACTGAGACGACGTCGTAGCCATCGTCCGTTTCGCAATACAAGAACCTAGAAAGTTCCCGGCGCTGAATCGAAACATGGAGCAGTCCCCTCCTCCTACTTCTCAGCAAACTCAATCTTGTAAGCAACTCGTAAACCCTAGCTCGATGGGATTCAATTCAATTCGCGATCTCATTGTTCAATCCCCAATCGAACTAGGATTCAATTTAATTCTTCAATTCCGGCCCCCAATTCGTTGCTTCTGTTGTTGTTCCTATCAAATTACCGACCCTCACTTTTACTATCCGGACCGATTGCAGATGCCGCGGCGTCGTCGTCATCCGACGAAGAGATAGACTACAGCGTGAAGCCAGAGTTCTACGACCCGAAGCTCGACGAGAGGGATGAAGCTTGGGTCGGGAAACAGAGGCGAGGCAACCGCCGTTCCGACGCCGTTCTGAGCTGCCCTGCCTGTTTCACCACCGTCTCCCTCCAATCCCAAAGGCACGAAAGGTACGTGACACAGTATAGAGCCGTAGCTGTTATGAACTGCAATGTCGAGAGTCGAGGCGATCAGATGGCAGTGGATGGAACAGAAGAAGGAGGAGGAAGAGGTAAGCCTGCCAGCAGAGTTGGAAGCGGCAGAAGAAGCAGCGAAGGAAGCAATTCAAGTTCAGTGGACCGAGTTGGGTGCTCGGTTTGTGATACACAGGTTGGGGTGAGGGACGAGGAGGAGGTGTACCACTTCTTCAACGTCATCCCAAGTGAAACTTAGGGAAGACGACTACTCTGGGCTAATTCGTTTGAACCAGAAAACATCATTCTGAACAAGTTTAGTTTGAGTTGCCCTCCATGACTTCACTTGGCTCTGGAGGAATGTTAGATTCCCGCTGATGAATTACTGGTATTGCTAATCTGGAAACCAGCAACTGCTTCTGTGGTCATTTTTAGAAATGTGTTTTGATCTTGAGCGTCTGATTTTGCATTTGATTAGATCATTATTTACGCAGAGGTATGTGTAAAAGAAATACGCAGGACGTGACTACAATCTACAAACAGCATTATTGAGGGAGATTTTATTTTCCAGCGGGGGTGCTCTCATTTTCATCAAATCGTTCCAAAAACAGGTGAGAGGTTGGAGGGGCCCGCCATCCAGCTGTATTGTATATATTTGACAATCTTCTTCTCTGTCTCTCTACAATATTATATCCTTTCTCTCCTCTCGCTATCAAGCTCCTACTACTGCTGCTACGTCTATTTGATTGATTTCTCTCTCTGCTATATTATTTATTTTTCCTGTCATTCTAATTTACGACAATACCCCTTCTCGAGCAATATTTTTCAAACATTTATATATTTTGCTGTTCCATTCAATTCAATTCCGTGGCCTTTTGTTTACTTGTCAATTCATTCATTAGTTACCCCAAACACACAATTATTCAACGATTCACGACTTTGTAGTGAGAACGGGATGTTTTTTTTAGCTTCCGTTGAAAACTCCAAAAAGCAGAGTGTGTAACAGTCCGGATCAATTGAAACCCAAAAAAATCGCGGTCTAGTAGTGAAAGATATTGTAGGATCAAGGATCGGAACAATAATGCGTTCAGTCCGCTTAGATCCGGTCCAAATATCTATTTGGTCCAATCTTCTGCAGTATTTACATAATTTATAGAACCAAGAACGAGACCATATTATATTCGGATTTTCGTGTAGTTTATCATTTGGTCCGGTGCAGCCAGTACGGATCAACCCATTGCACACTCGTAGGTATGTACGTATTAATATATTATTATACATGTTAATCCTAATTACATAGGAGGTAAGAAGCGGGGGGGAAATTAAAGTGACGATTGCATGTAGGTAACATAGACTGGAGGCGGCCCCCATGTTTTGAGGAAATGTGGCTTGTAAATTGGATCGCTAAAACTGTTGTTCATGGATATACAAAATAAAAATAATTCAATTGGATAATTAACATTTGGTATGACAATAATAAGATCATGATCTATTTTAATATACCAGGCAGGGTCAGTGAAGATTAGTTAAAGAATTAATGGCCCCCACCCATTCCTTTCTTTAATATTGGGTTTTTGAGTGGGGACTATATTATATAATCATATATATCATTTATCAAAATTCCAAAGGTGCATGAAGCGGTCTTCCCTGATTAATATATATATAATCATCATGAATCATGATTAGTATTCTTAATTTTTGCTCCTAATCTCTAAAAAAAATAGCGTATTTATGTGTACTAATTGATGACACTAACCACGACAAAACAGGGTCTTATAATAGGATCATCGATATGGATTATCGTGTCTGGGGAGGGAATATTTTATAACAATAATACAATAATAATATAATGGCGTTTGTATATATTAATATAGCGTCAAACGCGTTATGTACAGGAAAAGATACGCAGGGGAATATATATGTGCCAATCCAATTTCAGCTTGTTTCATTTAATTTAATGGCAGCCACCGCATTTGATTTCTCCGATTTATCAATTATTCAATCTCCTAACTACAAAATGTGCAGCAACTTGTGTAGTGAATTGGCTTTCATTGTCAAAAATTGGCTTTCGTGGTTTTTGTAAGGTGTCTTGATCGTGAGATGTATTGTGTTCATGAAAATCAAAATCAAACCCCATATAGGCCGATATTGCATATTGTAAGTGAGGCGATTTTTTATTATATCTGGGTCTGATTTTGTTTTCTTGTGGGAAAACTTGCGTTGAATTGAGATGATACACTTTGACTAAATTGGACAACGATTGCAAGACATGACTCACACTTTTTCAAACAAAGTTCGAACGTGGTTGTTTGATTGATAATTTTTTTAAATCAAACTAAATTAAATTACTTCTACTACTCCGAGGTTCAACAAGAGCTCCAAACTACGGCTATGGTTATATTATAAAGAAAAGATAAAAAACTTGACTTAGGCAACGTCAGTAGTGTTGTTTTGGGAACTCTTAACTCCATCGAGCTCCTCTCTTAATTATAGGAATGAAGGTCTAACCATCTTGCATAACCGTCTGCTTGATAACAACTACAAATGACCGCTCCCCTCTACTCCAAAGTGGTGGTTGCTCCGTTCAACCGCTTAGGTGCACTCGGTCTATTGGAAATGTCATGAATCTTGCAGTTTATCTTGCCTCGCCTAATCTTTGTCTCGCCTGATCTAATTCCAAACTCGTGCAATGATCTTAACTCACGACCGCAACGTAACACCTCGTCGCGATCCGCGTGATCATCTCAAAACCCAAATTCCGACATAGGGCGATACCGACATAAATATTGAACCAACAAATAAAATTGAGAATAAGTCTTCTATTTAAATATTCATATGGTTTTATGATCACACCATCCATGTTTAATATTTTCCAAACATTGTAGATTTGAGACACATGCATGATGTGGTATTAAAAACCCACTGACAACAACCTGATGAGTCTCTACCATAATAATATCTGGATTATAACTAACCAACGTGGCAAAAACACAAGCCATACAACTAACAACTAACTCCCTCCTGTCCGGTGTCGGTCCTTCACTTCATTCTAAGCTGGAACTAACTAAAAATGACCACATGGGGCTGGCTATAATGACTTAACCCTAAATCACTTTCACTGGTGTACTTAGTTTCCACGTAATTACGCACATCGATTAGTCAATCAAGCCATTAATTATGACATCACCCCATCACTTTAGTGGTCAAAGAAAGACATGTTTATGTTTACGTCCATGCAAACTTGGCATCATTACCCGATTAGCAACCAACCCAACACAAACAAACCAAAAAAATTGACCTAACTTACTGCCTACGTAGTGGCCCATAGAGAAGGAAAATAAAATTGACCTAACTTAATAAGTCACAGAGGAATCAGCTGTTGCAGAAATGGTGGCCTGCCATGGATCCCATGTTTGGTGCTAATGAGGAAAACAAAGCAACAATAAGATATAATTGGGTCCCCGACTTTGACCCGGACCCTAAACCCAACTTAAAACCCGCCCCGGCGGTCCCTTCTTGTTTAATTAAGAATTTGATTTGGGCCGGGTAATTAGGGCATTTGAGACAAATTTGCACTTTTCTCTTGTGATTGTGAATGTGCCCCCCCTCGTGGCCTATAGCTATATATATGGGGTAGTAGTAAGTAGATTAGTAGACCCATGCCACGATCCCCGCCACCATTTCCCTAAACCCACATTAATCCTACAATCTTAATCATATAATATTAAGCAAATTGTACTTGTCACACTGGTCAATCCCCTCCAATATTTGGGACAGCTCGTATGTTTAAGTATAATTGCATGTGTCAGGTGTACTGGTTTTTTTTTTTTTGTTTTTTTTTTTAACGAGGTGAATCTGTCTATATTGAACTATGAAAATAACGGTTATAAGAGGTTGATTACACCAGGAGAAATGGAACAAACAATAATGAAACTCTAATAACCGGAAGCACAATCCCAACCGAAAAGAGAGCCACAACAACGATTGAACAAACCGGCAAAATAGACCATCACAGGAGCCAAACGAGAGTGGTATCAAACATCTGTTTCTTCCACTAGCAACCAAATTAAATCAGCAACAAAGCATGGTTTCAACTCTCCCGAAACAGACAAGACCATGGCGATTGAATGAGCAATGCCATAAGTCGCCACCTGGGGGATCATTCGAAGATGACCCATCACAGTGAATCACAAGATTGAGATTGCTCGGCGGTGGGCAGGTGTACTGTGACGTGATGCTAATTGAGAGGATAATACAGTGGACAACATTGTCCGTCAACTTGCTAATTAATTTTATGTATATAGTTCAGACTAGCGTGAGAAAAAGAAGGGAATGCTGATTAGGTTTTAACAGGGAATCAGGGATGGAGGAAGTGGGTTTGTTTTCATTTTCGACTTGTTATTGTTTTTGCTTTTCTTTATTTATATATATGATAATAATAATAATGCTGGATTTGGTGGAAAGGAATCTAATATAATCAGCTTCTGCTTTGTATATATAGAGAGAGAAAGAGGGTTGATTAATTTTGGATTATGGTGGTTGAGCTGAAGGATCCTAAAAACAGATAAAAATCCAAGCAAACGGACAAAACACAGAGGAGAGGATTTTTCAATTTCAATTTCAATTCAGCCACCTCAGCAGCCAGACACTTGGCCGCCAGTGACTGGCAAGGGCCAACGGCAATCCCCCTCACCCCAAGACATTGATTTGAATTTCAGAGACGAAGAGAAGGGGGCAACTTAATCTTAATCCTTTAATTAATGATTGATTTTGAGGACGATAATCATCAATAAACACCACTCCCCAACCCCAAATTGGTATCGCTTCTCCTTCATGATAACTAACTAACTTAATCACGTTTTGATTAAATTTTATATAATCACCTGCCTGCCACCGCTGTGAGAATGCTAATTCGTTTTTACCTACTCGTCCTGATATCTATTAATTAATCCCGGCGGTAACACGTGGTCATTATAGTTTGACAATAAGATAACACCCAAGAAGCCAAGCCCGTCGATAGACTTGGTATAATTTAATGACGTTGACTTAATCTCTAATCAAAATTGTCTGGCCAGATTTTTTGCTGAACCCGAAACCCGTATCAGTGATACGGTTATGGTTAGTGGTGTGTACATGTGGTTAATGGTTGAATGCACCCGACGGGCATATATGTGTTTTAAGAATTATCATTGAGAATTTGAAAGAGATTTTGCAATCTGACCATATATCTAGGGTACGATTCGGCAGGTTTTGGAACTTTCAATCAAACCTTTATGGGAGACCTTTGATTTTTTTTTTTTTTATGGTAAGAGGATGAGAGTGTTTCGGTATTGGTGTGTTGGGAACCACAATCTCAAACTCTTTTATAAACACATGTTTCTAAGCCCCATGAGTATTACACCGGCGGGGAGAAGAGGTAACATATTAATGGATTTTCGGTTTGATTGGGTTTAATTGGTTTGATAATTAGGTTTTTATTAATTTTTTTATGACGCGACATGCTGACTTGAGTGAACTAACGGATTTTCAAATGAAAATGGACGAAATGACCCCTTTGTTATTTTTCCGACGATTTTATTAAACCGTTTATGATGATTAGCCAACAAATAAAATAACTACCCTGTTAGATTATTGACCGGATCGAGTTATTAATCGCGAATAATAAAGTTGAAAAAATGGTATGCAATAAGTGTGTTCAAATTTCTTAAAAAAAAAAAAGTGTGTTCAATGTTTAGGACGAAAGGACAATATTGTCCCCAAACCAGGACTACTGGCTCCAGTTGTCCAGCGAAAGGTGGCGGGATGAGACGCGCGCTTTTCTCAAGTTCTTAACAAAGTAGAGAGAGAAGGGAGAGCTTCGTTATCCGTTGGATTCTAATCCAACGGCCACAAGAAAAGGTCTGTCTAGGGGGAAGAAACTTGGACGTTGGATCATTGTATGCCGCCGAGCTGCAAACAAAGAGCGAGTTTAAGGAGCAAATCGCGTAAATGGAGGAGCGATGCCAGGTGTCATTTCTATCTAATCAGAGACTAACTCCAAATCACTCATTTCAATCCCCACATTTGAATTCAATTAAATAATAATCAATCAACAAAAAAAACAGGGCTTAGCTTAATCTCCCACCCCCACGCGCCATTTCTTCCTTCCCGCCACCGTACGTACCCGGCGAGATTCACGTTTTCCCTTCTCTTTTCCTAATTCCCCTTTTGTTCTTGCCACCCGTGCGAAAAACCGGTTGCATGTTTTACAGTTTTACACACTAAACCTCAACCCGACGTCGTTTTTAGCTCAGTTACCGGCTTGTTTAAGAAGATGATGGCGGTTTCGGGCTTCCTCGCCTTGAATGTTGGCCATAGAGCTCGATAAGAATTGTAATGAAGTTCTCGATTCAAGTTGTACGTTGTATCCGAACTTATTGCACAATCGTTCATGTTGCATACACATAAGGGTGTTCACACTTATGGGCTTTCTCTCACACTCATGTATGTTATATGCAAATATTCTAATCTTACAAGTTAGAGATTTTCAACATCATGTCTATATAAGTCGCATATATTTATTTACTTGTTCAAATCTCGGTTGGATCGTGAATATGTGATATGAACGTTAATGCGTAAATGAGCAGTCCTATTAAAATCATAGTTCAACTCTAATCCGCCAGCAAATTAGTGGTACGGTAATAATAGCAAGACTGACCCACACCACACTGCTTGCGTAACAGAATGGTTCGAACTCGTTTTAATCTCCCAGAAACTAATCCCTGTTTCCCGGAACAAAAGGATAAGGCTCTTTTAAATAGTAATATTATATTATACACGCCTTTCCCTTTATTTAATTAGGGAAAGCCCAACAGGCCAACCAAAAGAAAGACTGACCTGACTGACTGAAGTGGACTTCAATACAGTAATACCTGGGCCGGGGCAAAAGGAGGCAGCGCGTGCCATCCACCCTCCCCAACACGGCAGTGGGCTGCAGTAGCAACAGTACGACTGTACAGAGCGAGCGAGTGAGCTGAGCTGTGGGGGTAAGGCTAAGTGGTCCCCACAGCCAGAGGAAAAAAAAAAGAGGGACCCACCACCCATGTGCCCTCCCTCCTGTCTCCACCAGCTCCTGCCTCTCAATGATTAGCTCTCTCTCTGTTTCCCTCTTCTTCTTCTTCTTCTTCCCCTAAACCATACCACCATCAAACCCTTCCCTTCTCCTTCTCCTTCAATCAATCACCCACTCCCCTTCTTCTTCTCCCAAATCCTTTTCTTCCACAACCATGTCCAATTCCGACGCCGCCGCCGCCATGATCGACCCTCTATTCCACCCTCACCTCCACAGACACCACCACCAGCACTCTCAGCCGCCGCCCTCCCCTGCCTCCTCCGCTCCCCCTCCTTCCACCGCCACCACAACTTCCTCTACGGCCATCGTTCCTGGTTCCGCAACCAACGGCACGCTCGCGGTGAAGAAGCCGCCGTCGAAGGACAGGCACAGCAAGGTCGACGGGAGGGGGAGGAGAATCCGGATGCCAATCATCTGCGCCGCCAGGGTTTTCCAGCTGACCCGCGAGCTGGGCCACAAGTCCGACGGCCAGACCATCGAGTGGCTGCTCCGCCAGGCGGAGCCGTCCATCATTGCCGCGACGGGCACCGGGACGACTCCGGCGAGCTTCTCCACCGTCTCCGCCTCCGTTCGCTCCGCCGCTGGCCCCACCCTGGCTGCTCTGTCGTCGTTGTCGAATTCCTCGCCCATGGACCATAAGCCCCTTCTCAGCGCCGCCCCTTTCATACTCGGCAAGCGGGTCCGGGCCGACGACGACCACAACGGCAACAACGGAAACGGTGCCAATGGAGGTGGGCAACATCATAAGGACGACGGCGGTGGGATTCCCGTCTGCCACTCCCTCGTCGCGCCTACTGCCGCCGCCGGGCCGGGAGGGTTTTGGGCCGTTCAGGCCAGGCCCGATTTCTGGGGTTACGCCGCGGCGCCACACGAGATGGTAGCTCAACACTCGAGTCTCTTTGTTCACCAGCAGCAAGCAGCTGCGGCTGCGGCGGCCGCTGCCATGGGGGAAGCCTCAGCAGCTAGGGTTGGGAATTACTTGCCAGGTCACCACCTCAATTTGTTGGCTTCCTTGTCGGGTGGGCCGGGCAATTCCAGCCGGAGAGAGGAGGATCCCCGCTAAATTGGTGGTCGGAAGCTGGAAATTCAGGTGGTATATAGTAGTATGAGTTTATATATATGTATAACCTTATTTGTATGTCAAGATTTGTTGCCTTAGTGTCTTTGGGTCTGTTGTTGTTGTCGTTGTTGTGTGAAGAGGTAGTGGTAGTAGTAGTAGCAGTAAGTGAGGTTAAGCTCTTCTGGGCTTTATCTATCAGTGGATGGTGGTTTTGGTTTTTTCAGAAGGCTCCTCAAATTGGGTATTTGAGAGAGTTCATCTGTCTGGCTCACAGGAAAGAAGTTTGTGAGTGGTTAACTCTTTCTTCATCTTCCTGGCCTCTCCATGATTGGTCTGAACTTATCAGAATGCAGGAAAGTTGGAGGCTTTTCCCCCCCTTAATACACAGTTTGTAGCTCTCTGCTTGATTCAATTATGGCTGTCCAAGATGCCGGGTTGTTTTGGGCACTCTCTCTCCCCCAGAATTCATTGCCTTATATCCCAGCTATGCAGAAACCAGAGATGAGGCTGGTGATGATCATTATTTGGCACAGCTGCTGCAGATTTGTCTCTTGCTCGAGCCTTCCTTCTGGGGTTATATTTGATTTCATTTCATTTGGGTGGTCTCAAAGGAGACAAAAGATATACAGACAGGCGTGTGGTGAATTTGGGGAAAGAACTCTGATGCCTTTTCTCTGTAAGACCTTTGTTTTTAATTCTTCTCTGAAACTTTTTGTCAGCACTAGTATTCTACTATTCTTAGCCATTTCATTTTAGAGATTAATCAGCGTCCAGAAGAAGAAGAATAATGTGTGTTACTTGTATGTAAGTTGATGATTGAGTTCCTTGATGGAGGGGTGCCCTTTCATGTGAATAAGAACCTGTTTGTTTGGATTAATTCAGCCTATTCAATCCCTCGTTTTCCTTACCCGGTTTGCATCATTTGCTCGATGACGGCTTCTGATCAATGTGCATAGTAGCTTCTGGTTGCGAGTCTCAGTTATCGTGGTAAGGGTTCCACCAAATTGACCAGCTTTAGGCAGGATGATTTGGTTAAGGGCAACCATCTGAAGTTTTCAGATCGTGCTTTGCTGCTGTTGCTTGTGGATGGTGCAAACAAAGTGAATGCTGGTTTTAATCAGCAGGTGATGGACTGATAGCTCGTTCTCGAGGCTTTTAGTTTTTGAAGGCAATCAACCATCTGCTGCTCTATTTATTTGACTCTATGGCTGACTTGTTCACTGATATGCTGTCAACCACTGCCATAGATGCTCTGATAACTTCATGTATAGGCTATAATAATGGGTGGATGCAGTATTGCAAAAGCAGAGTGATGGGCAAGCTCTAAACCATGACTGCTCGCTTTTGGTTGGTTGCATGGGGTAATGGGTTCCTGGGTGATGTCAAGAAAGATTTTCTGGGTGCTATTTGTAGGGATGATTCTCCCTTCTTATCCACAAAAAAACTAAACCAAATGAGGTTAAGATCCAATAATTGACTAATGGGTCCTATGGGGGGATTCAATGTCCTGCAGATCTCTGCTATCCAAAAGAGGGAAAATGGAAAATGAAATATCAGACTTTTCTTACAGTGGACCTTTCCCTGACCTGTGGCTCATTCAATGGTTGAATTCAATCGGGCCACCACACCACCCAACAAACTCAGGCTGTTGCTTGCTGCTAAGAATGAGACAGTCCAAGCCATCCAGCTACACAGTCGGTCCTCTCTTCTTTCTACACTCTCTCCCTTTTTTTCACCATGCCACTGCCGACTTCTGCCAGCGGGTAAACTCCAGTAGCCTCACTGGCTGCTGCCGGTGGCCAAGGTCCAACGGATCATTCCTCCGGCAAGGATCCAAAACAGTCTTAATGCACAGTAAAAAAAAAAACAAAAGATCACTGCTACAGATATGTGGACTGTATGCCAATGAAGCGAGTTGAGGAATATGAAAAATTCCATCGATAACAACAGAAAAATAGAAAGACAATTGCCCCCACGCAGGATCGAACTACGGACCTTCAGTTTACAAGACTGACGCTCTACCACTGAGCTATAGGGGCATTTGCACGATTTCCAAGGTCAGAATTCTAAATTCGTTAGGCTGAGAGCATACGGTAAATCGAACGGAGGGTCCAACTAAACCCTTGACCCAAAGCGCGGCGAGGCCGATTAGCAAAGCAGCGAGGAAGACGATGGCATCTTCGAAAGGTCCAGCTTCGCCGGCGGCGAGAGTGGCGGAGATGGAGAAGATGAGCGTCGAACAACTCAAGGCGGTGAAGGAGCAAACGGATCTCGAAGTCAATCTGTTGCAGGACAGCCTCAACAACATTCGCACCGCCACTACTCGACTCGATCTCGCTTCCGCCGCACTCCACGATCTCTCCCTCCGCCCCCAAGGTTAATTATTTCCCTCTCTCTCTCTCCTTGTCCCCCTTTCCTCCGTCGCTGTTTCAGCTTGGTTCTAATTTGAAATTTGCTCTGTTTATTTCCTTCCAATTGCTTTTCCAGGGAAGAAAATGCTGGTCCCTCTCACAGCATCGCTCTATGTGCCTGGAACCCTCGATGATTCCGAGAAGGTCCTTGTCGATATCGGCACTGGCTACTTCGTCGAGGTCAGTTTTCGTTAGTTATTTGATCTCCACCTAAAAAAATTAGTGGTTTTTTTTTTTTTGTAACAGTCTCCAGCCTTGAAAATGGAGTTCATAGGAAATAGCTGCTTGGTAAATTAGCTATGAACCATTTAGTTTCTTGCTAGAGACTAGAGAGCTGTTGCTTAATTGGAGAAGGAACACGGGCGACCAGAAAGGCAGAAGCTTTGTTGTTCAGATTCTTATTCAGCCTGTTCATTGGGTCTCTTTAAGGTTTTAGGATGGCTTCTAAAAAATTTCCCATTTTTCCTCTTCTTTTGTTGGTTGGAGTGGACTCGTTAGAAAACAATGGTCGAGGGGAAAGATTATTGCGAAAGGAAGATCCACTTGCTGAAATCGAATTATGATCAGCTTCTCGAGGTATGTTCTTTTGTGCACTAACCTCTTCCCTTAGGCATTGGGCAGAGCTTTGCAAGTCAATCAATTTCAGTTCTGTTGTGCCCTATATATCTGAAGTGATCACTGCTTGACAATTCGCAGCAATTGATAGAATTGTTCTGATGGCAAACTATTATATTTTGTGCTTGTTTTCTCGTTCTTGTTACAGTTACCTGGTTGAGAGTTGCCTGTAGTGATAGTAAGAACTGTTATTGAGATGGAAGAGTGTTTTTGGTTTGCTGTCATTGTGTGTTTTGATAATTGTTCTTTGTACTTGTCAATGTGTTGTTTAATCGGTGGATATGCCGAAATTCTTATACAGTATTGTGCTAATATACCGGTTGAATCCCAAAATTGCAGCTTGCATCGAATAAAAAGACAGTTGCAGATGAAGCTGGGGCTGCGTTACAGGCAAAATTGAAACAGTTAGCACCCCAAACATAGAGGTTCCAGATCACTATGAAACAGTTAGCACCCCAAACCTCCAGCTATATCTGTGTGAACATAGTTAGACAAGTGTGGGCATCGAAGTATATTTCTTTCGGGCGAGTAAAGGAAGATGTTTCATTCCCCGCTAGAATGAGTTTGAATCGTGGATTAAACTCAGCAACTGTATCCTAATGTTTAGAAAGGATACTATTCTTCATTGCCAGTCAGCTCTATTGTAGAAGCTCTTTGTTAATCCATTTCGCTGTTGATTTATGCTTCTTGGAAGCCCGGTTCTTAGCATTCTTTAGCTCGAGGTGATAGAGTTCTGGGTACTTGCTATGGTGGAGTATGACTGTGGTTCTGTGCATGCCATTATATACGATGATGGGATGTTGGAGAACTCTGAAGTTATAAGTTGAAGTTGCAACTTATAACTAACCTTTTGAATCTTCTGCTTCATCAGCAGAGTTCTTCCACTCGTTGATTCTGTTATGGATTGTGCTAACTGGGCCTCTGTTTGCTTCCAGTGTGGCCCATTCTTGCTCTATCGGGTTGGATACCCATCTCTCCTTTTCTGAGCTGGTCCGGTTGAGAAGGCAACTGTAAATCTGTAATTGGTTGACGAAGGAAAACCCAAATTGAAGGTCAAATCCAGCCTTTACCTCCAAATGTTATCGCATGAGAATTGAAATGATGTACTTAAATCACTAATCAGGTGTCTTTTCTTCCAGGAAAAGTTGCTATGCCATAATTTTTGTATAAAAAACAGAGGTGTCACACACTACTTTTATGATTATGACATTATTTTTGTATAAAAAACAAAAGTGTCACGCACTACTTTGATAATTAAAGTTGCAACGTCATAATAGACTTCTTTAAGTCGTGATCGAATGAGAATGTGCAAATGGTATTAATGAGATTGTAATGACGATAAATTTGTTGAATTTGTTTAAAAGGGTGCGATAAGAAAATGTGTTTGCTAATATAAGTTGACTTGTGTCAGTTTGCAGTTAATTGATAAAATTTAGGGTTAATATAATTTAATATCCAAACCTTTCATTTTAAACAATATAATAGTCAAACCTTTTCGAAAACAATCTAATATCCAAATCGTCAACTTTTCGTCCGTTTGATCGTTAGTTGACACTTCAAAAAATTCGAAGTACGACACTTCATCAATATCCATCGATATCTTCTCTGAAAAATCACCAACTTATCGTGGTTCCAAACCCGAGAAGTCCATGACTCCACCATGATGGTATAGAATATCTAAATATTCAGTCATCTGCAATGCCAAAACAAGAAAACAAAGTTGTATTGTGACAATTTCCCCTAAACAAAGCTTTTTTGAAGTGTCAACTAACGGTCAAACGGACGGAAAGCTGACGATTTGGATATTAGATTGTTTTCGAAATGGTTTGGCTATTATATTGTTTAAAATGAAAGGTTTGAATATTAAATTGTATTTACCCTAAAATTTAGGTAAAATATTAAGTATATGTATGTTCTTCTTTTTTGTCAGAAGATTTGACAAGAAACCTCACTTCTTACTGTTGTTGAAAAATCTCACTAATTGAATATTGTTTAAAATATTACAATTAGCAAGAAAGCAAGGTCTAGACTTGGTGTGGAAATGATATGTCCAAAACTTTTGATGATTGTTTTGAAGGAAAATATAACTCTTGATAGACCAAGTAACAAGATCAAGAAATCCTGAGATATTTCAATGTATATTTTTGTTCCACATAAATTGAAATTGAAATTGAAATTGATTGAGGAAAAGTAAAGCCAAATTTAGGGATAAAGTCCAGTCACCTCCAAATGTCATATCATGATGTGCTTAAATCACCAATAAGGCAATAACTATAAGGGGGTCGTTTGGATGAGAGATTGTGGCAGGATTGTGATGCAGGATTTTAAAACAATCCCACATAATGAGGGATTTTAATCAAATAACTCGTTTGGAAAGAGTTGGGATTGTGACCATCAGTGATTTTAAAAACCCACATATATAGAATTTTAAAATAGCTGATGGGGGTCAGCTATTTTGAAATCACTCATTTTGTTTTTGTTTTTTCCAACTTGGCCCTTCTCCTTCTTCTTTCGCCTTCGACCACTGCCCAGTAAACTTCACCCATCTTCTTCCAGTTCGATTTCGCCGGCGAAACTTCCTCTTCCTCAACTCTCTCTTGTCGGCGTTGAGGTATTTGGGAACGGCGTCCAACAGCATCCTCCGATCTTCCTCCTTTTCTTATGGCGAATATGGGTTCGTGAGTTGGAGCCGGAGATCGGAGCGCTTCGACAGGACGGGAGGCGAGAGAGCGGATTTCAGGCAAACAGTTCTTCCTTGTCTTCCTATCTCGCTCGTGGTGGCCGGCCGATTTCAGACGAGAACTGCTTTTCCTTTTCTTCCTATCTCGCTCGATTTCTGACGGTACGGGAGCGGGAGAGCTAATTGCAGACAACTTTGTTCTTCCACTTCTTCCTATCTGGCTCCCATCGAATTCTCCGTTTCTCTGATTCCTCCAACGGTTATCCTCGCCGTCTTATTCTTGAAACAGTACGCTAGGGTTCTTGGTTCAGCGTTCCCAGAGTAGCCGAGGAAGAAACGAAGAAGAAGATGAAAAGGGCAATAATCAATTGCCGACGGGAGATCTTGTTTCTAGTTTTCTTCGAGTTTTGTAGCTGATTGGGAGCTGCAATTTCGGAACTGGCCTCGACGGGAGATTGACGGAAATTGGCGCAGAGTTAAAGGTTGCATATGGAAAATCGGCAAAGATTGGATCAATTGGATGGAGATTGGATGAAGCAGAGAGGAAGAGAGGGTCGCTCGGTTTGGCCTAGGAAGGAGGAAGTGGGATTTATGGGCACATTTGTAATTTTGATTTCACTATTAAAAACCCTTAATAATATCCAAACAAGTTATTTGGGTCAAATCTCTCATGTAAATTACCTGGGTTTTTAAATGAGAGATTTGGAACCAAATTCCTTTCAAATCTCTCAAATTAAAAACCTGCATCCAAACCACCCCAAGGTGTCTTTATGGGAAAAGTTGATATGCCATAATTTCTACATAAAAAAAAACACTAAGTGTAATTCTATTTATATGATTAAAATAATAAATACTTCCTTTTTTTAGCAAGAATCACAGTCTTATCACTTATGGCAGAGCACGATGAGATATATCATCAATATGATGATGAGAATGGAAACCATAAGCAATATTCGGTTCTTCGTGACCAACGATAATTAAACCGTCAGTAACAGTAACGTAAGCATGAACTTTTTGGTAGTTGTTCGAGGATAGAATAAACTCAATCAACAGGAGGGAGGGTGGATAAGTTTCTCTCATAGGTTCCGGGGCGAATCACACCATCAATTGCGGGATAAGAAGTAATCAATAAGATTATGTGATTGGTTGATGTAATTGATGATATTACGTGAGAACCCCAAATGAATTACATGATCAGATTGCTAAAAAAAAGGGTTATGCCCATGAACATAAGTTGATTCACGTGATTAGTTAAATTTTTTCACGTTAAGAGAATAGAGCACATGTGCTAATCTTATGCTTTTCGTCATAGAATACTATAGGAAAACTCAATTCTTTCTTATACATATGGATGGACACTAGTTGAAGATAGACCCAATAATCCTCAAAGATAAACAAAGTAAGAATATATTGTGATATGAAATCCTAATGAATTGGTTGTAAAAAGAAAATGGTTTGGATTATATCTAAAATCCTAGAGAATGAAATTCCCTCATTCAATAAATGATCAATGATTGGGGGGTGTTAGAGAGTTATCCAAATCAAGTACCGTATGCAATGTTGGGATAGACAGACTTCCTTCCAGTTGGTACAGCAAATGCGACTCCGCAACACACATTATTCTTCACATAATCAGTTTCAGTCCTGCATATTATAAAACTCCGCTGGCTGCTTGCGGTTCTGTGGCCAGAAATGCTCGAACGTTCTTCGGGCACTTTGCAAATAGTTTTGGTTGATCAAGGTAGGGCAAGCAGGGGATGGAGAAAACAGAGCACGAACATGCTTCATGCTCTCTGTTTTTTTGGAAGCTATCTGCCTGCCTACGGTTCATGTTCCTTATTATTGGCAACTATTAGGCTGGACTTTTGTCGCAAAGATATTAGCCATATAGAGACTGACCTTACTCTGAGATTTGTGGGCATTTCAGTAGTTTTCCCTCTGGTGGTTTTGCTAAGTCTAACGTCGATGTTAACAGAGCAGCGAGGAGGGAGGTGTTGGTTCGTAATCAGATACCCAAATTTTTTCTTCAGTCTTCGTTGGGAATTTTTGTCAGGGTGCGGAGGTGGGACCTCGGCAGAGGAAAGATGTGGCGAGATCTCATGCACGAACATGATTTGTGATCTTAATGCCTCCCGCCATGCCATTCTGTTACTAATTCGTTGGAATGAGAAATGTCTAAGTAAACGGATTGTAATAATAATAATGTAGAGATTTGACAATGGGTGGGTTGGATTGCGACGTTGGAGGAGTTGGAAGGATAAGGAATGCGTTATAATTCGTGTGTTAAGTAGTTAATTTAAATCGGTAGGGAATTGAAAATTCATGGGAGTTTTATTTTTGTGTTTTGGGATTGGGACGGTGAACGTAATTTTGGCGGACCTCTTTCTCAACAAGTAGTATTAGATTATGGTTTCGAAGTCTGGATTCAGGATGGTGGATGTAAGTTTGGTGGATCCCAATCTCAACAAGCGGTATCAAAGTCCGGTTTCAAAGTTCGTGGTTCTTGTGTCAGAATTGCATTATTACATTACATCGGCATATAACTTCAATTTGTTTATACTTCATGTTTCTACCAAAACTTTTTTAGTAGGAAGAATGATTTTCAGTGTTGGTCGAATTCACCTCTCAAACAAACCCGATTTTCCACTCACTTTATCAACACGGCGATCGACAAATAATTCGAACTCTATCGTTTGTTCTTTGCCCAATCCCATATAGGCTTAAAGAAAAGTAGATCATCCATTTTTCCTTACATTCACTAGAGGAAAATCATGTCACGAACTATTCAGTGAGATTATGAGAAAGTGACGTGATTGACTCTTATAAATTTGTTTGATCACCTGATCATCAACCAAAGTATACCCAATCTTGAACCAACTAGCACAAGAAGAAAATCTCCCGTAAGATACATGAATGTATTCGAATGTCACATTACACCTCTCTACTTCTACAACGAAATAAACATTAAGTGTCTCTGTCCAGGGTAACAAACATGTTACAGCTTCGATTATCTGATCGCCATGTTCTGGAATGTCTCTTCAATACCCTACCTCTCCCTCTACATTATATTCATTCACCAGTGCCAAAGACTGCAACTTGAGGAACCACACCATACTTTCCAATCCCTCCTCCTTCCCCATTCTGCCCACTCAGTCTTCAACCAGAGCTTCTCCGCCATACATCTCAAACATTCCCCTGTTACATGCTCTGCAGTACACCTCTGTTTTTTTCTTTTTGGCCTGGACCAGAGAATCACCATATCCACCATTAAACAAAATCCAACATGGAAAGACCCACAACCATGAGAGCAATCCCAGGACGGCGGGGAGGAGTAGAATCCACCCCATCTCCTTACTTCCCCTTCTCCCAGAAACTTCCACCGGCGGTCCTCGACGCTTCTTTCTCCTCCTACCTCCAGCCAGGCAGCAACCCAATCGACGATTCCGCCGAGATCAGCATTTTCGACGCCACCAAGTACTTCAACAGCGAGGCTGAGAATCCCAAACTCAGTATTAGCAGAGTATCCCCTGTTGTTGCTAATGGTAATAGCAATAACTCCGGTGTCGTCGTTTCCGAGCCGCCCCGATTCTCGTCCGCTTCCTCGTCGGTGGATGGGTATGGATACGCCAATCGGGCCTACCGTACCGGGTCGTTCCACGCCACGCCGACGGCTTCGTCGGAGGCCAGCTGGAACAGCCAGACCGGGCTGCTGTCGAACCCGCCGGGGGCTTTGGCTGTGTCGGTGAGGCACCCCCAAGGCTCCGTCGCCGATGATCAGAGGAAGAGAGGGTCGGCGAAGAGATGGATTCTTGGACGGAGGTGCCCTTGCTCCGGCAAAAAGTCGGTTCAGGTCGAGGAGAAGATGTCGGAACCCAGAACTCCGATGTCCCATTTAGCTCCGAATAACAGGGTAACGGTGAGTGCGATGGTGAAGAGGCAGGGGAGTAATAGTAATGATCACAGCAATAATAGCATCCCGAAAATCCCTAATTCTTTCCCGGGTCGGGTCGAGAAGAGCGATTGCAGCTCCGCCCCGAGTTCAATTGATTGGATGGAGCGACGGGAGATTGAAATCCCTAATTCTGTACGGAGGATCTCGGCGGAGACTACCAGGTTCGGTAGCCACCACCGCGTTGTCCTGCCGCCGAATTCCACCGAAGGGAATTCGATTGGCGGCGGAGGGGGATTCACTTTCCCGATTCTGAGCCAATCTGCTGCGGCGGCGGCCCCGCCGGTTAAATTGGTGCTGAAGCCGAAGCTGTCGATCCTCGAGGACCCGCCGCGGGAGTCTCTGGAGGTGTTCCGCCCGGCGGAGGAGGTGATTGTCGGCGGCGGCAATTCAGCGGTGAAGCTGGGGCTGGAGCCGCCGAAGCGGCAGAGCTTCACTTTCCCGGCGAGCCCCAGGTCGCGAATGACGGCGGCGGCGACGGACGACGACATGGCGAGCGACGCCAGCTCGGACCTCTTCGAGATCGAGAGCTTCTCCACGCAGACGACGTCGTACCAGCTCAACGGGAGCAACCGCCGTGACTCGATGGAGGACGCGTCCACGTTCAACGCGCGGAGATTGAGCGGAATCGGCGGGGGAGGAGGAGGGGGCGCGTATAGGGAGCGCGTGGAAGAGGAAGAGGAGGAGAATGAGGAGGAGGCGGCGGCGACGGAGTGTTACGAGCCGAGCGAGGCGAGCATCGCGTGGAGCGTGGTGACGGCGGAAGGGTTCGACAGGGCGAGCGTGACGAATTACTCCGTAACGGCGTCAGAGGCGGATGAGGTTAGGTTCATGATGATGAGGCAGGTGGAGCCGTCGGCGGAGGCGGCGAGGAACGGCGGCGGTGGAGGAGGAGGAGGAGGGAAGAAGAGGGGTGGGTTGTTGAGCTGTCGGTGCGAGAAGGCGGTGAGCGTGGGGCCGCAACCGATGAGGACTGGTGGAGGAGGAGAGGGACAGCGGGGTGTTAATATGGCGGCGGGGCATGTGAATGGCCGGTCGGCAGCGGCGGCGGCGGCGGCGATGAATAGTAGCCATAAGAAGCCACCACTTGCGAGGTCTCATTCTGCTCGATTGTCTCTGCCCTTTGCAGCATAAAAGCAAACAGGTCTTTACCTTAATGGTGTGATCATTTGTCTGCAATTTGATTTAGTATATCACGTAACGTTGTACGGCCACAATCATCGAGCAAAGAGTGTTATCACTGTTATGTGTTCATTTCAATTCTCGTGTTTGCTTTGTTTTATTATAATTTTTTTTTTTTTTTTGGTACGGGGTTTGGATTTGGATTTGGATTGTTACCGTTAATTTGTTGCGAGGGGTGGTCAGGGGAGTTTTTCAATTGAGTTGGTTGGATTGGGTTTGGATGGGTTGATTAGGATGGGGTCACTTGTTTGTTATAGATCGGTTTGATTTGTTGGGTGGCGGGTATAATTATAAATATGATTTGATCGTATGCCATGAATTTCAACGTGTCACTTTCAAATTAAGAAAAGACTCAAAGTTGTCTAATCAGGAGGAGGCATTCTATACAGTGAGGGAGGGACGGTCAGAAATTAGAAATGGTGGAATGGCAAAGTCTTGAGTCCACAGGCTAAAGTTAGGTAACCAGCGTGAAGCGGAGCCCCAGTGTGAGAGCGGAGAGCGTCAATTTTTTAAGAATTCAATATTAAGAACGTGAGTTAAACTTAATTCATTGAAACAACACGAGAGGCAGAGTTAAACCTCTGTTCTTCTTCACTAAGAATTCAAATTACAGAGACGACTTCAAAACTTTACCAATCTCCCTCGAACCCTGTCGTCGTTGCATCACTCTGACACCAGCTTCCGCATCATAGTCGTCTCCATCAACGAAATAAATCATAATCGCGGCAAAGTTCCAGCTGTGAAGCCTAGTGGACCCGAGGAATCAATCATAAGTTTGATCTCTGTTTTCATGTACACCAAAACATAGCAGCGACAACTCATACCCAAAGCTATCGCCGACGGTTTATTGGCCCTCTTCACCTCTTATATGGCAGTGCTCCAAGAAATCGTGCCGTCGTGGATCAGATTCGCGCTCCAAGTATAAATAATTCGCGACTTTTTCATGAATTACCCAAAAAATGCGTTTTCCCGCTTTAGAGCGGGATCATGAGAGCTAACCTCATGAATTGGGTGACCTAAGGCTAAAGCTGCAGAGAGAGGTCCAAATGTTTGGACTTAAGATTGCAAGATCAGAGAAGAAGAAAACCATCGTGAGTTGGTTAGGTATCACAATGCCCAATAGGGATTGGGCTTTTGCAACCTTGTCTATGAACCAGGGGTTTGCAAACTGACGTTTCGACTATATCATATACCAAACCGAATATAATGTCATTCCGTCTTTAATTTCGTTAAATATTGAAAGAAAAACAAAGCGTATTTTAACTTTTAGGTCCCACCAACCGAACTAAATACAACGATGACTTGGTCTGTGATCCTAATATGCGAAATTTATCGTTTATCTCATAAGAGCATTATTACGCAAACCATAACTTTCCGCACCGATTTGTAAATCAAAATTCACCTTATTAAACCAGCTGCGATATTAGGATTATTCATTTCTTGCCTCAATCAACCTGACGTAGTTGGTTCAAAAGTTTCTCAAACAAAGTCACAAATGTGTCCATCTCATCCTTTCTCAGCACCAACCCGAACTCAAGCCCGCCCCTTTCCTCATCTCTCGCATCGGAGATGTAAACCGTGTCGGACGTGTCAATCTGCACCGGCTCCACCTTCCTCGGCCTCCCCCACCCGAAATCCGACTCGTAAACCCGCATCCTCGGCGATCCGGCAACCGTCACAACTTTCCCAAATTTGAAAGCTTCCCCAAATCCCGTTATCCATTTCTCCGCATCTTCCAACGCCTCCTCTCCGAGCCCCTGAACCCCCGCCGTGATCGCCTTCGCCGCCACCACGAAGCCGTCGTCTCCCAGCAGTTGTCTCCGCTTCACCGACACTATCTTTACCCCGACACAGTTGCCGAAGTAGGTCGCCGGGAGCGGGGGGTCGAGACGGCCGCGGAAATCTGCCACAATCACGTTGCTGTCGATTTTCTCGCCGCCGCCGCCGTCCTCCCCTGCTTTTTCTTCTACGAGATCTAGGGATTTCATCAAATTGGTCCATATCAAAGCGCTCGTCACTGCAAATGCCGAGGCCGGTGGAAGCTGTTTGCCGTCGCCGAAATTGTCGCGATTCACAGTGGCTTTCAGCCTGGATATATCTTCTCTGTCAATCGCGAACGTCGCACGGACCTTACCCGAATGTTTACATAGGATCGAGTCGTCCTGCCAAGCCTCCGCAAAATTCCACACTTGTTCGGTGAAAATGTCCTTCAGATTTCTCGGGTCGTGGATCAACGATCGGTCGAGGCACGGCGGCGAGTTTTCGACCCAGCTCGAGTCCTCGCCCCCGGACCTGCAAATCGAAGCCCAGGATTTCACGAAATTGCTGAAAGCCAACCCGTCGGCTGCCACGTGGAGAAACTCGAACCCGATGCAGACGCCAGAGTCCGGGAACAGAGTGATCTTCACGGCGAGAAGCGGTGCCACGATTGCGCCGTCGTCGTCAGGCTTTGATTCGGCGGGAGGGAGTTTGGGGAGAAGAGTGTGGAGCAAGGCGGCGTCGTTTGGGAGGTCGGTGGAGACTTGGTCGAAGTCGAGAGCGGTCTCGGCGACGGTGAGGGAAACAGAGTCGCCATCGGAGTAGCGGATGTAGGGCTTTCCGGGTCGGGACGGGGAGACGAGGCGAGCAGCAAAAGGGTAGAAGTAACGGAGGGCGAGGGAGAGGGAGGAAGTTAGATTGGGGAGGATTGTTTGGCGGAAGTGGGGAACGTTGCAGTTTGGGATATTGTAGAAGAAGACTCGTTGGATGGGTTTAACGCCAAGAAATGTTATGTCGAAGAATGTGAGCGGGAGGGAAGTGGCGGGAACAGAGCCCGGCGGTGGAGAGATTTGTATTTCGTCAGTGGTTTTGACGAAGTGGGAATATGGGTTGGAGCTTTGGATTTGTGGGGAGTGAGGAGCGGTAGTTTGTGTTCTACAGAGAACAGGGGAAGAAGTGGTAGAAAAGCCTGAGGGAGGAAGTAAGGTTAGGTGGGATTGTTTGGCGGGGAGATAAGGCGAGCAACGGCGGGTCGCGGAGATTAAACGAGCAGGGAAGCGGCAGAAGTAACGGCGGACGGTGAGGGCGAAGGAGGGAGTAAGATTGCGGAGGATTATTTGGCGGAGGTGAGACATTTCGATTACTCTGTTTTGTGGCCTGCAGAGAACAGGGGAAGAAGTGGGTTTGCTGAGAAATCTTGCTGCGGTGATGGGGGGGAATTATAACGGTTGGTCCCTGGAGCTATTCCATTCTCATTGATTAACAACAGAACGAAAGGTCCTTTGATCTTGTTCTCCTTTGATGATGTGGGAGAAGTGTTTCATTGAACTATGGCGCTGCCCTTGATGGACTTGGTCTCACTAACGACCAAAATTATTTTTTGCGGACTACTGATTAGGAGTGGGAGTCGGTCGTTTTCGGTTTAACCGAAAACCCGGTTATCGGTTAAACCGAGCCACCCCCTCTACCTGCCGACCACCGACCGTGAGAGTGGTCACGGTCAGCCGGTCAAGTGACCGGCCGGGTTCGGTTTTAGGTTCGGTTAGCCAGCCAACCGAAAAACAACCTTTTCAAAAAAAAAAAAAAAAAAAAAAACTAAAAATTCTGCACCACTCACTCCTAACACCTCACACTTCTCGATTCTTCTTCTTCCTTTTCCAGAGAAACCCGCCGCTAACACCTATCTCTCTCCCTACTCTCTCTAGAATCTCGATTCTCTTCTTCCTTTCTCTGAAAATCGACAAACCCTTGCCGCCAACCAAATTGCCTCCTCCTCCCTCACCTCTCTCGTTCTGCCCTCTCCCTAAATCGCCATTCCCTCTGCCTCTCCGTTGACGGCGACGGGAACAGCGTAGATTGAGGCGGTGACGAAGGTGGGGGAGAAGTAAGATCCGACGGCAGAGGTGGAGTAGTAGTAGGCATTGTTTCCCCTGACGTCCCCCGGGGGAGTGGCGGGGATGTCGAGGGCCTGGTCGTCGGCCGGGACGGAGGCGGCAGAGGAGGAGTTGGTGGTGGCGGTGGTGGAGGTGTGGTCGAGTAGCCTCGGATTGCTCATCCGCCGGGTCGCCCATGACTGCGCTTCCACCATCGCCGCCGGTGAAGATGGGGTGCGTGGGAGATTGGGAATGGATAGATCTGGATGAGAATTGGGGGAATTTGGGGAGAGGAGGAGATGACTGTACAGAAAGGGAGGGGACAGAAGTTTTGTTTTGGGGGGAGAATGGACGGTGGGGATTAAGATTTGGGAGCGGTGGTGATGAGATCCGAGTTGTTAGATTTCTCGTGGGAAGAGAGGGGAGAGATTGGGGAGGGGATGAGAGTGTCGGTAGTGGCGAGTGGGCAAAGTGGGGAAGGGGTCGTTTTGGGTAAGGCTGCGGGGTCGTCGGTTAGCCGGTTAACCGCCGGTTACTGACCGCGGTTAATCGGCTAGCCGAGGCTCTCCCCCGGCAACCGACCGACGCCAATACAGAGCGATTTTCGGTTAGCCGAAAACCGGTCGGTTCGGTCGTAACCGGTTGGTTCGGTCGTAACCAACCGGTTAACTGCTAACCGGAAACCATTCTGCCAGCCCTACTACTGATCGCAAAATATAGTTGCAGCAACGGAAACATCTGAGCTCTGCCCGGAACCAGGCGCTACGTGTAATAGGGAAACCCGGCGACGCCAAAGGTCACATAGCCTGGTGGTAAGGAAGGCGAACTAGTGACCGAGAGGTCCCAGGTTCGATCCTCACCGCCACCATGGTGTTTCCGGAGGCACCCCGCATTTGCCCAGACTGCTGGTGGAGGTCCCGGGGTTTGGCCCGACTACGGCATCATCAAAGGTGGTGACCGTGGAGGGTGTTCCTCGTCATAAATAAAAAAAACCCCCGGCGACCAGAAAACTGCAGAGAAGGTTGCCAACTGAAACCGAAGCGCGTTTTGGCCCCCGCCTGCCCCCATGCGGCTGGTGCTTTTTGGTATCCCAAAATTATAATTTATGTCCATGTTAATTGTTTTCTTTTTTTAAGGATTGAAATAACTTGTACCGGAAAAGTTAGCAGTATGGTGTTTTATATCAAATCGTAGTTCAATCGTTTCATCCTACTAAATATAGGTTTTTCTCGTTGAATTACCGATACGTTATCGTTTCAATCCTTTTTGTAAGATTGTCCAGGTTAATTAGGGCAACCCACTATGTTTACAAAGTAATTAATAACCGGTTAATTAGTGCATCATAATTAATGACAGTGAACTAAAAAGTATGCGTGAGATTTTTTTTGTTGGAAATCTGTAATCACTTCTTATTGATCAATATTTATGGTTACATTGTCCATTGCTAACTCATCAATCAGAAAAATCGGGGGTCTGTCATGCCAAACTGAGTGGACATAAACTCTTGCGTCTGAATGAGTCATGATATGAGCAGCCTCGTTTCCCGTACGTCTAACATGTCGCCAACTAGTTTCTCCCGTACTTCCCAGCAATCGCCGAACATTTCTGCAAATCACTCCTATCTCCGACTGGATGCAATCCGCTTCGGCCAGCTTTGTGGTTGTCTCAAGGCTATCCGTTTCCACAATGACGTTATGCAGGCGGTGTTGGTGAGCAAGTTGCACCCCAAATTCGACAACCATTACTTCTGCTTCAGCAACCGTCCAGTTCCCCATGACCTTCATAGCCGCAGCCATAATAAACTCGTCATGCGGACCTCGTGCAACCATTCCAAGTCCAACGTCAGTGTCGCCCTGCTTCGCCGCATAAGTATTGACCTTCACACTTCCTGGCGGCGGAGGATTCTAGCCATCCTCGTGTGGCGAATTTGGGATAGCTGTCTGTCTTCCCTGTTCGGCCCTGTACTCTTCAAGAAATAGCTCAGCTCTTGGGATGATATCTTGTTCAGCTAGCTTTTGTCCATTAAACATTTGAGCATTTCGTTCCTTCCATAGAAACCATAGAACAACACACCACGCCTCCAGCTTTGAATCATTCCCTTTATCCATAACACTTGCAGCCCACGGGTAGCAATCATCAGAAGAACTACAAAGAGAAGTAATCAGCATAACTCGTAGGCCTCCATATCCGCGTGGTCCATCCACACTCTCCAAACAGGTGTTTTTGGGGTTCCTTTAAGTCACAAAGCGGGCATTTGTCCACTGCCTTCGTACTCTTTGTACTAATATGATCACCCGTTGCTAAGATATCTCTCATAAAGCGCCACATAAAATGTTTTACCTTAGGAGGGATCGTCAAAGCCCACAACTTCTTCCAAACCGCAATCGGTTCTTCTAACTTTCAATTGTTCGATAGATATGTGGTGAATCATTTACCTCATATAATATGTGGGGGAAAATATTTTCAAATAATGTACTCTAGGAAAGAAACTGGTATATGTCGTACATTCACTATAGATGCACAAATGTGGGTTCTATTTTTTTCCTGAGATTATAAAATAAATTATCGCATTCATGCTGACTATTGAGATGGACGCTTACGTGGAGATTTCATGATGTACGACATACACCAACGTTTATCTAGTGTAAAATAGAAGTCACTATATATATATATATATATATATGGTGGCTACTTCGGTGCACTCACTTTTTTGGGTGTATTGAATGCACTCAACTCTAAAGTTAGTCATAGACATCAAATTTTGAATTTTAACTGGTAGCATTAGTATAATACGATGATATAATAAATGATTACAACTAATCAATCAATTACCTTAACCCCTAAACCTTCAATTTTGAACACCAACCCAAAATCCCAAAATGTGAACCCTAACCCTAAATCCCTAAATCTGAAATCCTTCAAATCAAAGTATATATTTAATGATTTCTTCTGTAAATTCATGGGGTTCATGTCTATCATGTAACAAGTAATGATTGAATCGTTTTGACATGAATCGCTTATTCAAAATAGCGATTATGAGGCGGAAGCACTGAATGCACACAAAAAAGTGAGTGCACCGAAGACACCACCATTTATATATATATATAAAACAAAATTTTCGTCTTAATTAATTATTATTATCCATATAAAACTAATGGATCAATTAAATAAATAAAACAATAAAATCTATGCTGAACTATATATTATGTAAAAAAAATGGCACTTTATCATTCTATCGGTGCCTATTGGATCAGCACTTCATTTTGAAGAGACATGGTCCACCGATGATCGCAGTATCATGGTCGTGTTGGTGACGAAGTCGTACAAGGAAGAATTCTTGGAGTCCGATATTTTGTAGTTCTCCAGTCTCCACTATCCCATGCCGACGGCCCGGTCCACACCGGAGTAACTTCTTTCAAGTTGGTTCTTTATGCTTGGCGAGGAAGAGGTTTCAGCAGGACGCATCCGTCGTGTTATCCGGTGCTTTAATTTGTCCACATCCGTCGCCATAACAACGAGAGTCCGGATCTGGTGACTAAGGGGGGTGCTTAGTCACATGGCTAAGCTCTCCTCAACCCTTAGATTAGAATGGGTAGATCTAATGGTCCAGATGAAGGAAGGGTTAATAATTAATCAGAGGGGTAGTTTTGGCATTTAAAAAAAAAAATCTTGTTTTCCATTTTATTTATTTTTTCCTTTTCCCCCTCTCCAATTCTCTCTTCCTTTCCCGTTGTATTGTCCAGAGAGAGAGACGAGGCAATTTTCTCCAGCAACGGCGAACGGCGAGGCGATTCTCCGGCGAACGGCGAGGTAATTTTCTCCGGCGAACGGCGAGGCGATTCTCCAGCAACGGCGAGACGATTTTCTCTCGGCGATCTGCGAGGCGATTCTCTAGCGAACGCCGCTACGCTGGAGGAGAGAGAGGCGGCAGTCTTGGAGAGAGAAAGTAGATCTACTCGTCGGAAAACAGAGGAGAGAGAGACGATGGTGAGGAGAGAGAGGCGGCGGAGAGAGCTTCGACGACGATGGAGGAGATAGAAGCGGCGCGGTGATGGAGAGAGAGAGGTAACGACGGCTGTAGAGAGAGTCGACGGCGACGTCGGCGGCGGCGGCGGCGTGGAGAGACATCGTATCGTCATCTGAAGGTAGAACAGTGATTTGTATAGTTTGTATGTTTTGTAACATTAGTTTGTATTGTTAGTATTTTTGTACAAAATGTCAGTATGGTTTGTATGTTTTTCTTTGACAGTTTGTACTCTTAGTATGTTTTTCTTTGACAGTTTGTATTCTTAGTATGTTTTTCTTTGATAGTTTGTATTCTTAGTATGTTTTGCTTGTATTCTTAGTATGTTTCGCTTTGTATTGTAAGTACTAATAATTTGTATACTTTATATGTATTGATTTGTGATGCAAAAAACATTACAAACATGGTTGACAAAAATGTGGACAAAAATAACAAACATTACAAACAATACAAAAGAAACCAACAAACATTACAAACATTACAAAATAACAAACATTACAAACATTGCAAACAAACATTACAAACAGTACAAAGCATACTACACGTACAGAATATCACTACTTACAATACAGATTGGTAAACTTGTATTACAAACAAATGAATACAAAGTATACAAATACAAATCAATGAATAGAAAGTGTATAAATCATAACATAAAGTATACAAACTAGAAAAACAAACATTACTAACATTACAAACATTACAATGTATACAAAATAGTAATATAAACATTACAAACATCACGAACTCAAATACTGTTGTCGGAAAACCATCCACCACCGTCTCTGGTCGCCGGAAAATTGCTCCGCCGTCGCCGGAAAAGCTCTCTCTCTCTCTCTCTCTCTCTCTCTCTCTCTCTCTCTCTCTCCCTCCCTCCCTCCCTCCCTCCCTCCCTCCCTCTCTCTCTCTCTCTCTCTCTCTCTCTCTCTCTCTCTCTCGGAATTCCACTGGAATAATGATAATGGCCGATGGAGAGAGAGTCTGGGGCAATTGCCCTGCAATAATGGCGGATGGAGAAGAATTCTCCTGCCCAGAATTTTTTTGCCCGGAAATTGGACGGAGGCGGCGCAAGGGACGGGGCCGGAAATTGGACGGAGAAAGGAGGCGGCGCGGACATGGACAGCTGATTTTTTTATATTCATTTTATAATTAAAAATAAATATTAAACATGCAATTACTATGTTGTCCTTCCTTAAAATGAATTAATTGTAGCCTTAGGATTTTAATGAGCATGGAAGGCTCAGATTGACTTAGCCAAGTGACTAAGGGTACCCCCCTTAGTCACCTGATTTTAGCCCATAACAACGAAGTCCTAGCTCGCGATTAGGGTTCCAGAGTTTCGCTCCGAAATTTTAGGAGAAAATCTGTCAATGTTCTTTATAGGAAAACCTGTTAACATGATGTGGTCCGATTCTTGATTTCATAAATTTTAGGCAAAATACACTTGCATAGCCAAAACTTTCACGTTTGTGCCAATAATAGCCAAATTTGGCGAAATACCACTTATAGCCAAGTCCGTCCAATTCTTTAACGCTGTTAATGTTAAGTGTGACGAGGCAAACGGAACAGCTTACGTGGACCGCATGAGATTTCCACGTGGACAATAATTAAAAAAAAGACACAAAATCAGAACCACTCATTTTTACCCACCCACCTTTTGTTCTCTCTTTCCTCTTTCCTTATCGTCTTCATCGAACCCCCCCTATTCTCATCGACGAAGGCGAAGGCGACCACGAAGGCGACGTTCTTCCTCCGACGAACCCCATACCCCCCGCTTTTCCTTCCTCCATTGATCGAGCTGAACCTACCGCCTCCTTCCTCGAGAAACACATACAGAGGATGGGTTGACATCGAGCCCTTCTTCTCCAATTTGAAACCTTTCTATTTCTTCCCTGAGTTCCGCCGCACCCATGCATTGCCCCACACCCATTCGCTCTGCAGTCAGCACCATCCATTCCCCAACACCTATCCATCCGGCCATCGCTCCATCCATCTCTTCGATTGCTCCATTCGATTGGTCGGGAGTCAACGAGATTGAATCAAAGCAATCCCTAAAATTACCCATTTTCGCAGGGCCAAAATTGATTGGCTTCCCCTGCAAGCTGAACTCCAATGCGACTACCGAAAATTTCTTCTTCGTTGGAATCACCAACTCGGGTCATCAACAACTTCGTCGGGTCCCTCGTCACCGCCGCCAACGTCGAGAAGGTCCTCGGTCGTCGAGTGAGGTACATGGAATGGCATGGCAGAGAGTTTCAGGCGAAGGGGAAAGACATCAGCAGCGGGAGGCGACTAGAGTGAGTGAATCCAAATTTGTTGAAGGGAATGATTGGGTGGGCGTCGGATCGGACCTCCGAGAAGCGAATCTCGGCAGAGGAAATGGAGAAGAGGAGGGTGAGGAGGAGAGGGAAGATAAGGAATCAAACTATTGATCTAGAGAGAGATTTAGAGAGCTCAGTGGAGGAGTAATCGGACCTCCCAAGAGATTTGGTGGTTCGCACAATGGTGAAGAAGAGTGCTAGTCCACGACGTCGGTTGGAGAACAGGGGAAGAAGAAGCACATCAGGCAGGGAGTTAAATTCTCAATGGGTTTTTTTTATTAATATATTATTAATAGGTTATTTTTTTAATTTATGATGTGTAATTATTAAATAAATTTAAATTATTGACGTGTCACTTTTTGCTTATTTGGCGTTGACGTGTCAGATGAGTTGGCACCTAGTCAGCGAACCGTCAAAGAAGTTGACGGTGTTACTAACACCGTTAAAGTATCTAACAGAAATGGCTAAATTTGTCAACGACAAGTTTAAAAGCTGGCTATAAGTGGTATTTCGCCAAATTTGGCTATTATTGGCACAAACGTGAAAGTTTTGGCTATACAAGTGTATTTTGCCTAAATTTTATAAATATGGAAGAAAAATATTGATTGTCTGGTTCTTGGTTTTAAAATTTCTTTCACTATTGAATCGGGTCATGAGTATTGAGTTTGGTATGGTTGTACGGTATAAGTTCCAATCCATTACCGGATGACCTAATTTTATCTCGTGTAGATTTCTTTCCATTAAATCCATGGTTGCATGTAGGTGGCATACCGATCGATACAATTAGGTCTAGCCAGTGTTGGTTACAAAATGGACTAGAATTCTTCTGATATAAGTATATTAACGGCATGCTCAATTCCCATCCTTTAAATAAAATGACGCGCTTTGGTAGATTTAATTAACAAAAAAACCCTTTCATTTATTTTTTGAATTTGTAAGTTAAATGTTTACGTTATTTGTTGGATTAAAGTATGAATATTTAGATGTTATGTTTATTTATGGATTCATGTATAAATTTTTGGATGTTAGCATTAAATGTTGTATTTAAATATTGATGTTTTTCATTTTGTTGTAAATGTTGTACTTTATTTAAATATGAATGTGATTTTAGATAGATTGTCTTCAAATATGTTATATATGACTAAATTCATTAAATGTTAATAGTTTCAAACTTCCCTACATTTTTTGCTAAATCGGCATGAACTGGAATAAATTGTCTTTACCACTGGTCGGACCATACCACTTGTCATATACTGGCATAAAGACATAATAAACCGGTTTGATAATCTTGGTTTAATCACAATCTCTATGCTAACGTTGTATTATCAAATGTAAACGAAATTGTTTAGATTAAATATTAAATTGACAATTGAAATCACCAATCATTCAACCAAAGTAGTTTAGAGAATACGAGTTTAAATCTATAAATTGTCAACAATCTATACCAGTTTGATCAATTTATGATTCACTTGATTTCACTAATTGATTTTACATATGCCACAGGAGTACATCAACCAATTATATTTGATAAATTGTGGTTATGTTAATTTGACTAATTGATTTGCCATACCAAAAATGATCCATTTGACTCGATGAACTAAATAGACGTCAGTTGACCTAATCATGTGAATTTCGCAATAACACGTCAATGCAATGTGGAATAGAGGGGCTGCGCAAATCATATGAAGTTTCGTAGCTCTTATAAAAAGTAATAAAATGCTTAACAACTATTGAATTTTCCCTAATCAAATTAAGTTCATCAGCCAGCAGGCCGAACCTTAACTACTAAAACACAACTTATCACGAATACAGACTAACTTCCGTTTTTAAATATTTTATAAACTTATTCTTGCTATTTATTATTAGGCAAAATACACTTTCATAGCCATAACTATTCGCGTTGTGACAATAATAGCCACATTTTGAAAAATACACTGATATAGCCATTCCGTCCATAACTTTAACGGTTTTCTCACAACTGCTGACAGTACAAACGGATGTTTATGACGTGGCCAAATTTCGTCTACGTGGCAAAGATGGAATATGTTTTTTTAATTTATTAATTAAAAAAATGGTCAAATGTAACTTTACCAATTAATCGACCATTTCGATTTATTTTTACCCTTTCGTTTCTCTCCTTCTCGGTGAAACCCCTCCACCTTCACTCTAGATTGACGACTAGTTTCCACGGCCTCCGCCAATCCTTCTGCCGTACCCACCAACTCCGTCACTGACCAGGTCAACCCACCATCCACAGCGACAAAACGCCGCCGCCAATCCTCTCTTCGTGCCCACCCACTCCCTCCCTGACCAGAAGCATGGCTAACCCACACACATGACTATCCGACTTCCCCTCCGCCACAATCCTTGCAGCGTCCTTCACCAGATCCGATCTGGCGGCAAACTCCCTCCATAGAATCGTCAACGCAGGCTCTTGCTCTGCTACCGTTGTCGCCACTAGGGTCGGCGACTCTAGTTCACCTCCATCGTTGGGAGGTTCGCAACCACCGCCGTTGATGGCGTAGATGGAGCTCGATGACACCTAGAACTTCCCTTGCCCCCTCCGTCATTCCCCCGCCATTCATCGTCATCATCCATCATCGAATCTATCATTACCCAAATTTTCCTTGGATCGTCTAATTAATCATCGCCCGTATCCAGATGGCCAGATTTCTTCACCGTGACGGAGATGTCGCCGTTGATTTTGGATCTGCTGATTCTCTCTTCCTTATCTCTCTCGCAGCAGCCGGAGCTCCAGCTTTGTCTCCCCCACCCACTCATCTGTATTCGGTTTATGATGCAGTGGAGATGCATCGCCCCCATCATGGCGGAATCAAGTAATTGATGGGAAACGAGAGGGATTTGAAGAGAGGAGTTATGGTTTTGGATCTGTTGAAGAAGGTTGAAGGCGGAAGACAAGCAGCGCCGGTGGGAAAGGGATTTGGGGAAGGATTGGAACGAAAGAATAGAGAGAGAAAGAGGAAATAAAATAAACTATTTCTTTCTTTCTTTCTAAATTTTTTATTTGATTTCTTTTATAAAATTAATGATTTTTTGTTAAAAATACTTTTTTATATGACGTGGCATCTAGGTGGCACAAAGACGTCCAGTTGGCGATGATGTGTCGTCCAGATGGCATCCACCTCAGCGACACGTGGAGGTTACTAACGGCGTTCGTAACGACGTTAAAGTTTGAGACAAAAATGGCTAAAGTTGTCAAGCAAGTTTGAAAAAGTGGCTATATCAGTGTATTTTTCAAAAAGTGGCTATTATTGTCACAACACGAATAGTTATGGCTATGAAAGTGTATTTTGCCTTATTATTACTAGATCAAACCAATTGATATGCATTTCAAAAAACAAATTCGAAATGTATCGTTATAGCAAAAGTGGTAAATAATTTTTCTGAATCAAAATTCACCTTACTCAACTTCCCAGACCAATTTGCGTCGCATCCCCTCGACCAACCTGACGTAGTTGGTTCAGCCGCTGCTCAAACAAAGCCACAAACGCATCCATCTCAGCCTTTCTCAGCACCAACCCGAACTCAAGCCCGCCCCTTTCCTCATCTCTGGCATCGGAGAAGTAAACCGCGCCGGAGGAGTCAATATGCACCGGCTCCGACTTCCTCGGCCGTCCCCACCCGAAATCCGTCTCGTAGACATGGTCCATGAAACCGTACCGGAGACCGTACCGGAAAAGTCAGTGGTAGGGTATTTTATGGTAAAACCGTGATTTAACTGTAGTTCAACCGTTATATAGGTAAATACCGTCTACCGATTTAGCCTCCGATACTGGTATTTCGTGGTTGAACCACCGGTACGGTACGGTTTCATGGACACTGCTCGTAGACCCGCAGCCTCGGCGACCCGGCAACCGTCACAACTTTCCCAGATTTGAAAGCTTCCCCAAACCCAGTTACCCATTTCTCCGCTTCTTCCAGCGCCCCTCCGAGCCCCCGAATCCCCGCCGCGATCGCCTTCGCCGCCACGACGAATCCGTCGTCTCCCAGCAGGTCTCTCCGCTCCACCGACACTATCTTGATCCCGATGCAGTTGCCGAAGTAGGTCGCGGGGAGCTGCGGATCGAGACGGCCGCGTAGATCTGCCGGAAATACGTAGCTGTCGATTTTCCCGCCGCTGACGTCATCCCCTGCCTTTTCCTCTTCTTCTTCGAGATCTAGGGATTTGATCAAATTGGTCCATATCATGGCGCTCGCCACCGCAAATGCCGACGCCGCCGGAAGCCGTTTACCGTCTTCACGATTGTCCCGATTCGCCATTGCTTTCAGCCTGGATATATCTTCCCTGTCAATGACGAAAGTCGCACGGACCTTACCCGAATGTCTGTATCGGGGCGGCGACTCGTCGTCGTCCTGCCAAGCCTCGGCGAAATTCCACACTTGTTCCATGATAACATCCTTCAGATTTCTCGGGTCGTGGACCAACGATCGTTCCAGGCACGGCGGCGATTTCTCGACCCAGCTCAGGTCCTTTCCCCCGGACCTGCAAATCGAAGCCCAGGATTTCACGAAATGGTTGAAAGCCGACCCGTCGGCCGCCACGTGGAGGAATTCGAACCCGATGCAGACGCCAGAGTTGGGGAACAGAGTGATCTTCACGGCGAGAATCGGGGAGGCGGTTGTGCCGCCGCCGCCGTCGTGGGGTTTCGATTCGGCGGGAGGGAGTTTGGGGAGAAGAGGGTGGAGCAAGGCGGCGTCATTGGGGAGGTCGGTGGAGACTTGGTCGAGGTCGAGAGAGGTCTCGGCGACGGTGAGGGAAACAGAGTCGCCGTCGGAGCAGAGGATGTATGGCTTTCCGGGTCGAGGCGGGGAGACGAGGCGAGCAGCAAAAGGGTAGAAGTAACGGAGGGCGAGGGAGAGGCAGGAAGTTAGATTGGGGAGGATTGTTTGGCGGAATTTGGAGACGTTGCAGTTTGGGAGATTGTAGAAGAAGACCCGTTGGATGGGATTGACGATTAGCCAGAATATGTCGAAGAACGGCAGCGGGATGGAAGTAGCGGGAACCGAGCCCGCCGGCGGAGAGATTTGTAGTTCGTCGGTGGTTTTGACGGTGTCGGAATATGGTCGAGACATTTCGATTACCAGGGGAGTTAGGAGATCGTTTGCTGCGGTGGTGGATGGCGGTGGCGGATGGAATTATATATAGCAGTTGGTTCCTGGAGGTTGTATTGCAATTCGTCGTGTCATGTTAACCACCAGGTAATTGAGGACCGAAATGTTGTTTCGTGCATTCAATTCCGGCGGCTTAGTACCATGTCCGGAAAGCACCAGGACGTCCTGATTCCGGCAGACGATTCAAGTGACCTAACTCTAGAGTACAGACTTTGTACTTACAACCATCAGCATTTATAAACCGCAGACATAAACAGATGGACTAATAACCTGCTTCCTGGAGTGCCCAAAACCAAGTGAGTAGCTAGCTTCTTTGTCCAAGTAATCAAATCGATGGTAAGAACAATGGCAAACCTATAATGTATTAACCCTTCAGGTAATGATTGAATGTTCAAACCAAGAAGGTGTCTCCTCCTCTTCCAGTATTTCCGTGAAGTTCATTACCACTAACCAGGAGGTTATACAGCTGAAAAGGGCCAAACCATAGCAACACTAAAGCTTGATCAACATGAAGCAAAATCAATGAAAGTATAACATATTCAGGGCTGGCAATGGTCGGGTCGGGTTTTGCCAAACCCAAACCCATGAGTTTATCTATGAAAAAAACCCGAGGTAAAATCAATTGGGTTTGAAAAATTCAAACCCAACCCAACTCGCTGGGTATTTGCGGGTTCATGGGTACCCATGAATTTTTGTCGTAAAAAATTTACAATAACAAGTTTCTATACAAATAAAAGTCAAATATCAATCTCTCAATACAAATTATCCATTAATATATAAAAGCCTTGGTTACAATCACTGTTCATTAGTGACCCCCACTCTCTCCTCTGCGACTGAGCTTCCTCCATTCGTTTTCCCTTTATTCGCCCACGTCGCCCATTGCTTCTCTCACACAAGAACCCCCCAATCCTTTTACCCCACTCGCTGCCGCCGACCTTTGGATCCACCCTTTGTCCATCGGATACTTCTCTATACCTCTGCAATGGCCGCTCACTTTTTCTCCTCCTCCTTTCCACACGCAACCTGCTCCTTCACTGTACTCTGACTTCTCTTTCTTGCACGATGCACGCCATCTCCAATATTGGACACCCCTTTTTACCAGTCACTTGGCCTTGCGGCCTTGCCCACCAGGAGGAGAGTCTTCCTCCCCTTTCCATCCCCTTGCCTGGCCCTCTCCTACTCACAAAATCCACCCACAACACAAGAATCCGAGAGAAGAGATCCGCGAACAATCGCTGTGGGATTGCGTTTTGGGCGAATCCTAGATCCTTCTGTTGCCCTTTGTCGATCAATTTTGACCCTTGAGCTCGGTGCGATTCCATCCCAAATACCTCGCAGCCCGACTCCCACCACTGCTCACAAAATTGCCACCCACCTTAGAACACTCCTGCCGGAATCGTAGGTTCCCTCCTCTGTATCTTTCAGCGAGCCTCAATCTAGCTCGCTTTCCTCATTGTCCTTCTTTCGGATCGTCACTGGGCCGTCCTCTCCATCGTACAAATGCCCTGAGCGCCATCGCAACGGCAGCGCAATCAAACCCACTAATCCTTGCCTGGAAAGTCACCGCCCCGCAACAAAGAAGAAGAGGGGAGTTGTTGGAGAAAAAGAAGACGATAAAGGACAGATGGTGGCAAAGTTATTAACGGAGGGAGAAGCAAGTCAAATGATTTGAGGGGTCTGTAGGCACAGGAGAATAAGGGTCGATGGCGAGATGAAGGGTGAGCTGGGAAGGAACTGTGTTCGTCAAGAAAACGAATGAAGCAGAAAGGAAAGGGGGAAAAACTCCAAATCGATCCTGATAGCTACACTGAACATAGCGGTCGAGCCTTCCCTGGTTTTCAGTCCCCTCTGATTTGCCGGCTACAACCCAGGTTCATCCTTTTTGCTTTCGTTGCTGGTGGTATCCCTCTCTTTTCAATTCCTTTTAGACGGTAAGGTTCCGCAATTTTTTTCCATGCGCAGTACCTTTTGCCGATGCAATGGAAACAGGATGGGAGGATGCTACAGACGTGAATACTCGCATAGATAAAGGAGAGTCATGGTGAGTTGCAGCCCTTGCGGGTCTCTATTTCTTAGTTTCAGGGTGGATTCTGAATTCAGGGGAACCATTTCAGCACCATGAAGCTATCGCCATCATGAGTCTTTGTGGGATGCAGCAAAAACCAACCTCAGTTTCCATAACCTAAAAAGTGGGAAACAAGGTAATATTTGGGAATGGAAGAGAACTTTGGTGAAGGTAGACTGTTCTTTAGCACATCTGTTAACATTTTCTATTCCATAAACAGATTTATGAGTCATATAGAAGTAGCTAACACACACATATATATATGTACATCCTGCTTACATTCATCATACTTCTGCAGTCTTGGAAACAAATAAGCTTATGATCAGTAAGAATGCTGTTATCTTTCATTATAGTCTTGATTCCGTTTAGATTGGCATCGGTAGGCAGTCATAGGGACGAGCTACACCCAGTTCATTGTGAGAAGAAACCTATGACCTGCGATGTTTTCTTATTTCAGGTTAGGGGGAGTTTCAGAATAAGGATTAGTTAGTTTAACAAACTGCTTTCATGATTGTCGGTAGTTTCAGCATCCATCTAGCCTTTGTTGCTTCTGTAATTTGACCATTGAAGTTTGCGAGGAATGCATTCGGTTAGCTTTTACTGTTTTGTGTGTTCTTATTTCCATGTTCTAGAATTCTCTTTTCCTTTGATATGTATTCGCTTTCATACTCTAATTGTATATTTGTACATAGGTGAATCATGCTCAAGATAACAGGTCGCTGATGACGCTGGTGCAAGAAAGGAAGCCATCATTGGAATTCAGACCGAAACGGAAGGGATGCTGAGGACCAATTCAATGATGATGGTTGGTTGGCAGTAGAAAATTGTTCTTTGCTTTTCCCTCTACATGACAAGTTAACTACTTCTGGTTTATTTGTTGGTTTGTGAAGAAGGATAAGAGAGGGGAAAAGGGATAGGCAGGAGATGGGGAGAACTCCTTACTGCGATTAAGATGGACTGAAAGTAAACTTTCTTTAGCTTATTCTTCTACTTATCCTATCCATTGTTATTGTTCCCCACCCTTGAAAGTTTACTGTTGTGCTTTGCTTTTAACAGACCTGACAAACTTTCATGATGGCAAGTGCTCACATGCTACTCAATTGACACTGTAACCATGTTTGCTTTCGGATTCAGGGTTGTTACTTGACAACTTCAGAATGGTGGCCGTGATTAACATAATAGTTTGATAGAACCAAGTCCCGCGTTTGATTTTTCTGCTACAGCTTTAGTTTATGCACTGTATACTGAGTTCATTTACCATTGATAGTTTAGGCATCAAGCGCTGTTTAGATGTGTGATGCCATTGCCTTGGTTAGCAACTAAGCAAGGCACCTTCCAACTTAGAAGGTTCAGTATGTGTAGTTACAAGTCTAAAGGACAACAACAATATGCTGTTGTTAACTTTTTGGGTTTTTCGTTCACTTCGCAGTAATTAATTAGACATTTCAGTAGGGTCCGTTGCTAATGCTCTCTCATTGGTTTGAGTTCCAAAATAAGGGATTTGTGTTTTGCGAGACAGGGTGGGAGGAACGCTTTTGAAGCTTCAATGTGACTGCTGCTCAGTGGATGGATGCTTCACTGTTGCCAAATAAGATGCAGCATTCTGGGATCGACCGAATTTATGTATTTAATCTTTCCATTCATGTACAGCTCAAGAGAAACCAAAAAACAGGTAAGAAACTTTTCCTCCTCTTCTCCATCTTCCAGTGGTGTTTTGCCTGTATTTTTGCAGCTTTATAGTTAGATAACATAGTTTGAATTAACTTTTTATATGTAGAATTTGCTTAAAGAGCCAAAATGATTAAATATCATCTTATATCTGCTTCTCAAATTCCTCATCTTAGATTTCATGACTTTGCTAGCGTGATTGTCATTTGTCTATGTTATCTTTTTGTTTTATATGTTAATGGCACTAATAAGCAAACTGTTGGTCTCACATCTGAACTTTCAAATGCATAACTATATGCATAAATTATATGCGAAAATTACAAAGCCAATCCATCACAAAAGAGTAGATTGGATTGATAATCACATCTAAGGTTGAATTTGAGTTTGAGACTAACAACTTCTCCTCCTGGAAAGAGACCAAATGAATTATAATTAGACTAAATCTAGATCCTATCCTGCAGCCTGCAAGTAAAGACAACATGCCGAACCAACCCTCTGACTATAGCTTCCTTTTTTTTTTTAAACTGAAGTTTCAAACCCACTAACAATCTATTAAATTATTAATCAATTAAACAAACACATATTGCTACCCTGTTTGTATGGGATTCAGCTTGCTATATGTCTGTGGTTATATGATCATCTTAATTATCTAGCCCTTATGCTACTATGTTTGTGTTCATTAACCAATCACATATGACTACCCTGTTGGTACTACACGATAACTCTTTCTTTCTTCCTCAGCTACATGGGCATCACTGACATCATTGTCTTAATCCAGCAAAGAACCCGGTTCATGGGGAGGATTTTTCTTTTGAAACGAGCTCGCAATGTATTATTTTGAAGTCACTCCTAGATCTCTATGTCTTGGCCAAACCCAGGTTTGTCCCCTTTCATTCTCTCTTGGACTGTCAGATTCATGTCAATGATTAGGTAATTATTACTCTGTTCCATTCATGTTATTGGTTAAATTTTCATTAACACATTACCAAATGGTTGTTTGCCATTAAATGATCCACCACGAACTTTATATTATGTTTACTGCTTGCCATATAAACTACCATATTTATTTTCTTTAAGCAACCTAAAACTTCCATTCAACTTGATGTTGGAAGGCTGCTGCTGTAATGTGTTTCCTTCGGTGAAGCTTTATACTGTTATTTAATTAAATATGATATTGATCATTATCACCTCTCTTCTGATTGCTTTTGTTTTTAAAACCCTTTAGTATCTCATTGGTGATTTCCTCTGTCATTACTTCTGCATGAAAGATTGACACGAAAATGGGGTTAATATTGACACCTCAGCTACAATATCACAATTGAGACTGAACCCTCTATAAAATAAAAATAAAAATTGAGACCGAACGAGATAAACTAATTTGGTGATTTAAACATTACCAAACGAAGTGATCAGTTGCAGGTACTGCATTCTGATGCAAAATGTTTCACATTTATGTAAAATAGTGGGTTGAGAAGCTCTGTACAAAAGCCTTTCTAGAGCTTGATGGTTTTAAGTTTAATATGCACACGCTCCAGCATGTATGTCAAATGTCGCGAATATCACGATTACAAAAACTAACCTATGTCAGATGCTTGATAATACTACGTCGATTGCACATGTTAATCTATAATATATCCTCACATCTTTATGATAACGTTCCCTAACCTGTACCTTTTACCAATGTCATTGTTTCATTTTTCTTTTACCTACCAGGTCAGGCTCAATATTAAAATTCTTACCTGTCAATTACAAATCATTTCCTTTTTCAGTTGATTCATTGGCCTATGACCATCAACATCATCTTACATCCATTGGTTGAAATATTAGTTTGCCTTGCCATTAAAGTATGGATGATAAACCTGAAAGAGTTTTGCTTGGTTGTCTGTTTTAATTTAATATTTTCTTTGTGAAGCCAATAATCATCTTGCTCATTCTCAAGTACGGTGGGACCAAGAAGTTTGGGATATGTTTGGTGTTTCTTCTATCAATCATCCGGATCTACGACGTATATCAACAGATTATGGTTTTGATGGTCATCCATTACGAAAAGACCTTCCTATGATGATCCAGTGTTCCTACTGCTTTAATTGCTTAAGAGGTTGATTTTTTCACTTGCTGTTCTGTTGCAAGGATTGAGACAACATTTTTTCTCTTCTTAATCCACAAGCATTTGTTATTTTTAGGATCTGAATTATTGTCAATTGCATATTTCAACATTACCAGCATATCAACAACTCCACAAGCTGTATAATGAGAGAAGTTTGCAGATCATCCAACAAGATGAAAGGAAGGTAATTAGCTGTATTTTCTTTATTTATTAGGGTTAAATATATATCTCTCTCTCCTATTTCTTGAATTTACAAAATCTGGATTCACCAGAGGAGTATGTGATGCTTGCTTGAGCTATTCATTTGCCTCTTTAAAGTGAACAGAACGGCAACTGTTGGGGAAGGATTGAGTACTGACTTCTTTCAAGTGTATTGTGCATTCACGAGCGAGTGCTGTTGGGAGGAGTGCCTTCTTGAATTGCTATTTGATGGTTTTGATCAAGAGGTGTTTCTCTAAAATAAAAGTAGTCAACTTCGTGTATGTTATCACCTATGATTATACCTATCAATAGGGGTGATGATGCTCTAATTTGTTACTTCTGTTTCTATAATATGATACGATGCGCTCTATATTTAGCACAAAGTTCTATTCACTATTTATAGTAATTATGTACTCTTTTCGACTGAACCTTTTGTTTTTGCGCGAAGCGTAGCGAGCGGGTCTTTGCTAGTATATATAAAAGCATCATCCTCCTTGTCAATTAAGCTTCTTCACATTCTACTCGATATATCAACTTCATTCTACACAATTAGAAAGAAAAAAATTAGACATGTCTCTAGTCTCTACAAACATAAAGAGGATTAGTTGTTTAGAATATTAAATATACCGGGAAAATTAATTATATGGGTGTGGGCGGGTACCCATGGGGTGGTTTACCTAAACCCAAAACCAACCCAACCCGGTAATAGTGAACGGGTTTAAACACGAACCCGGCCGCCCAAAATAAGTCAACACGGGTTTTACCCGCGTTGACCGGGTTGGGTCGGGTAGGGTACCCGCGAGTTTGGGTTTTGTTGCCATCCCTAATAACATTGAAATACAGACAGAACAACGTCTAATTTAGAAGAGAAGCGAGAAAAGGATCGATCTCTAGCTGGCGTGAGAATTTGAAGACAACCATATTGGATATGAATTTTTTCAACATCTAGTTTGACCCTACTACAGTTTTTTACAGAAGCAACTTCTAGTTTGAGTTTATAAATAGGCAAAATACATTTGTATAGCCATAACTTTCACACTTTTGACAAATATAGCCATTACTATTCGAAAACCACAAACAGCCTAAAAATTGGATGGTATGTGACAAATCTAGCCATTTTTGTAAGAAACTTTGACGGTGTTAGAAACTCCGTCAGTTAGGTTAACGTTAGGCTGACTAAGATGCCAAATCATCGCACACGTCAGCGACCAGTCAGCATATCATTGCCACATCATTTTAAATTTTTAAAATAATTAATTTTAAAATAAAAAAATAAAAACTTCACTAAAATTTTCCCTACCCCTTCCACTTTCCCTCGTCGCCGCCCCTCAAGCCTGCAAACCTTCATCGATCTCCCCGATTCACCCATCCCTGCCGACGCCGCAGATACCACGAGCTCCGCCAACAACAATTGAATCCCAATCCAAAGACCCCTAACCACCACTAACAATGGCGGCAACACCTCCTGGCCACTGCTTCTTCTCAATTCAAGCTCGGCGGCTCTCTAGGAAACGGGAAGAGAAATCGATTGACTATCGATTCATCGCCAACTCTGCGAGACCCTTCCCCTTCCTCCCTTTGCTTCGTCATCGTCACGGCCGGAGATTCTTTGCCTCTGTCGACGGCGCTTTCCTTTCCTTCCATCTCTCCCCGTCTGAAACTTCTCCTTCGACGCTCTCTCGTCGCCAGCGGTAGCAAACTGTGGCTGACTCGCTAAAACACAACTCCTAACAATGGCCAAGTGTAACCAATGAAAGGGACTGCAGTATAGTGGCTCAAGTAATAAATATCGAATCCACGGGTCTCTAGAGTTACTATTACTCAGCTTCAGTTCGTTATCTAGCAAAACAGATTAAGTTGAAAGAACTAAAACTACTCTAGCAAACTACAGTTAAAGTTAATCTAATTACAGGTTGGGAACTCACTTAGGTATGATTCCCCCTAGCCACTAGCCAGATTAACGATTGATGATCTCTAACTTGTTTCACTTTCATTCACAATGCGGAGAATCCTTGACTAGACCTTGAGTCTCGACTAAAGGAACAAGGCCCTCTTGAGTCAATTGCCTAGAGGGACGTATCCTTCTCTAGAACAATCGATCAAGGCGTTCTGAACTAGACTCCCTCTATCGAATGAGGTTCTCAATCGATACAAAGCAGTGAATCAACCCTCGACTAAAGCAATCGATCCACTACTATCAATCTATGGTGCTCTATTGACCTAATCAGGTATTCGCTCTCATAGGATCAAAGCAGAATCAATAATCTCGACTAAAGCAGAATTGAATCGTGAAAACATGCATAGATTGAATATGAACTCAAGATTATCAAGTCAGAGTACTCATACAATCATCCAATCAAACAAACATAGCTAGGGTTCCTCAAAACCTAAGTGAAGGGAAGTTACTCCATAGAGAAGAGAGAGACTGCAGTAAGAATCTTCAGATGATCAGTCTTCAAGTCCGGGCTTATTCCTCGAGCTTCCAAGGCGAAGAAATCCTCCAATTCCACTCTTAGAATGCCCTCAAATCGCTCTCTCTTTCTTTGGTTCGTCCCTTGGGTGTTTGGGATCCAAAACCCAGCTCTCCTTTGCAAAAACGCACAAAACCGGCTTTTATCAGCTGCCCTCCCGATACCCGGTCGAAATACCCGGTCGGGTATTTTGGGTCTCGACCGGGTATAATTGAAGCGCACCGTTCCACAATAGGTGAAAATCCCCGGTCTACCACCAAAATCCCCGACCGGGGATTTAACTGCTGTGCCCGGGCCCCTCTCTGCTTCTCGGGCGCCCAAAATTGGTTAATACCCGGTCGGGTATATGGCCACCTGACCGGGTATTTTCCTCCTGCAGCCCCCTTAGTCCCAACTCGGCTCCTTTCGACCCAGAACTCGTTTCTCCGCCTCGATTCCAACGCCGGGACCTGAAATATGACATAAACACACAACCTAGCGTGAAATCGGCTTAAAACACGAGATTCCACATCACAAACGGCTTCAGAATAGGGGTGAAAACATGTGTAATTATCGGTCTATCAAACTCCCCCACACTTAACCGTTTGCTTGTCCCCAAGCAAACCTGACTCAAACCAATGCAGCTCTCCAGACCTCTATAGCGACAAACAACCGCGATCGTAGGTAGAGGACTTCCTAGATCATTTAGCAACTTACGAGGTCAACCGACGCACAAGTCATCTCATAGCTTCTTCGGCGAGAACGCTAGTCTCGAATCGGTATCATGGCAAATAGTGAACAGAGGACAAATGAATCGTGGATGAAGAGACTCTCACAAACAAAAGATCATGGACTCACATTAACTCAAGGTGCTCGATTTTCTTTGTGAACATGGTTGGAACCCTTTTCTTTCTTCTTTTTGCTTGTTTTTCTGTTTTTCTTCTTTTTTTCACGGGTTCCAACCTGCTTCTGCAGAAAACAGGGGCTCCCACCTAGCAAAGGTTTTGCGGGAGCCCGGCTCTTACCGGCCATGCCAGGAGCGGGTGTCTCGAGCCTCGTGCGGGGAAAAGACATGTAAGGGGGCTGGAGGTAGTAGGTGGAAATTGGGAACAGATTCCCGTCTCCCCTTACACACTTTCGCCCTATTCGCACGGGAGACGTTATTTTAAAGCACATTTCGAGCACCTGTTACATTCAGAACATGATACAAGAGTCCATGACAGGCAGAGAGTCCACAACACCACACAATTCAAGGGTCCTAAGATCACTAATTCACTCAATCAACCAACACAATATGAAGAAGAAATGAGACTTCTTAAATGCATCAACATCCTCCATAGTGCTACACTACCTCCCTAGGTTGCAAATCACTACAGAGACTGTCAATTCAAAGCATACTGAGCAGGCAATTGCAAGGAACACGTACTTGGAGCCCTCAAATTTTTAAAAATTTGGACAGTGGACTAGGCTCCAAGCACACAAACAGCCAAACATTCATCCGCATACATAATCGAACATCCCCCCACACTTAAGCACGACATTGTCCTCAATGGAGGAAAGATAAGGAGGGTAGAACGAAGTTACCAGATCAAGGGTGAATGATGACGGACGGGGGCAGGCAGTGCATTCCATGAAGAGAGAGTAATCAGAACACAAACACCACACAAAATCTCACAAAGGTTGAGTTATTGACTCTAAAATCAAATAACAAAACTGACTCAACCGAGGATAAATAGAGAAAGAAATGCAAACCGACTGGTTGGGTTGCCTCCCAACAAGCGCTACTTTCACGTCGTGAGCCGGACGATGGCTCCTAAGTTTCGGTCCATGCTAGAACCTCCTTGAAGTTGAGGTTCTCGTCGATGAGGTGGAGTCTCAAGTCACAAGCAGGTGGTGTGGCAGGTGATGAAGGCTCGTGCACTTGATGCAGATGAAGTCTCCACCCTCGAGACCTCTTCTTCTCTTCTCTCGTCTCATTGCCCCAAACCAGATAAGACAGCATCGATTGGCCACCATCGCGTCCACCAAGAGGGACCGATGTCGATGTGGCCTTGGTCTGGCAAAGAGACACTGCAAATGGGTCCTTGCTGAGCAATTCCTCGAAGTTTGGTGGAGATATCACATGTAACTCATGGCCGGTGCAAGCCTCTTCCACCTCAACTTCGTCCTCAGCCTGGACGCCAATTGCTTCTTCAACCTCCCTTTCTTCTTCATGTGGTATCACCCCTGGGAAATGATCAAGAACTACTCCTGCTTCGCTTTCGTCATCCTCCACAACCTCTTTCTGCACCCTTTCTTGCTCTTCTTCTTCTAGCACGGATTGGAGAGCAAGTTGCCAG